AGTAATAGTTTTAACGATATACCCATAACATCTCTTCTTAATTAATAGCCCCAAAGCTTTCCCTTAGCTTCCCTTTTTTACCATTCGATTCATCTGTACTAGAACTTATAGATTCAAGAACTACGTCGGTATATTGTAACTTGTAATGCTATCAAAATTCGTGATTTTTTACAATCACTACTTTTATAATTATTACTAAGAGCTTAGGGTCCTTCAAGAAAAGAGCGTGCCAATTCTTAAAAGGTCGGCATCCCGAGCCCTCTGGCATTGAGAGTGTCCATGGGCTGCGTTATCACTTAACATTAGGTGAGCCTCCTGGCCGTTTACCCCATTTTCTATAAAAAAACATTATACACAAATATTTGGTAATTGGATACAAAAGCTATTGAAATCGGGATCGCTATATTGGAGTCACAAAATATTGACGCAGGTGTCAGCCATCAAACCGGAAGATTTAGTATTAAAGATAAACAATTATAGAATTATTGTAATCGACCAATTATATTCTCACACGTTCTTGTCCGCTTGTCATCTGTCTTGTTAAAATCTCTACTAACAAGAGATCCTTACTGAAAGGCAAAAACGCGAAGACTATTTTGGAAGTTGAAATAACTGGGTCCCCATTAAAATACCACTGCCTAGATCACTTATAAAAAGCGACACGTTACATTTATGTCTAGTTTACATTCTCGCTGTTAAGGCGAGAGCCTATCGCATTTATAAATTCCAATACATATCAAGATAGGGGAATTTTAATACTTTATGTACTCAAGACGCGATTAAAAATAATAGTTGTATCCTATCCACAATCTCTCTTAACTAGATTTCCATTATTCATTTGAAATTGAAATAGCGTTTAACAGTGCATCAAAATTTTATGGTTTAAGTTTAAACCTTCATAGTAAAAGTTTTACGCAAATCACTTGTTGTCATAGAAGATAATATTATTCAGTACATTATGTAAGACAAGAAAAGAAATTCTTATAACATTGTATATTTTGCCAATTGTTTTGCTGACGGTCGTACCAACCAACCATTTTCCGATTTCGCTCCAACATACTAGACGTGTCCAGTCGAAGCTGGGATGTAGAAAACATAGTCGGTACTAGCTCAGTTTTTACACATTGTTACTGAGAGCAGTTCTTCAAATTAAGTGACATGTAACTTTTCTTATGGACAAAGCAGGTTCATTAAGGAACTAGTACTGCCGCATAGTTGGTGCTGATTGCTCAGTTCCTCATTAGTTGTGATAACTCAATTGACTAGTATTGCTCCTTTTAACGACATGTTTTTTAACAATTGCTCATAATAGTTAGCTGTTTTATATTGACGACGACGACGGGTTTGTTCTAATGCGCTTGTATTATATCGCAATTTATTTTATGATTTTATTTATTATTAGTAGTTTTATTATTTTTATTGAACGGGTGAGGCTTTTATTCCTGTTATTTATTTCAATTATTAAACCGTAATAGTTTTAATATAATTATAAAAAAGAAGAATTATAGATATGTCGAATAATGAAAGAACTAAAATATTATAAGTTCCCAAAAACCTTTCTCCGCCTAATATCGCAGTACAGTAGCATCAATTTAAGACAATTTTAAAAGCGATGATAGCAACGGAATGCAGGTCACATTTCCTTTTTCATTTTGTAATTATTTAAATACAAACATGCGATAAACAACCACAAGAATAGAGCAATAAGTATGAGAGTCGCATATCTAAACATTTGAACTGTAGCAACTAATGGCCATACAAATCCTTCTGTATCGGGCCCTGGTATTGTCCTCGGCGAATTTTATTTGCTCCTTAAACCACTGTCGACGCAACCTTTTTCCTTTTAACGCGGGCAATTTTTAAATGGCTTATGTTTGATTCCATTATTGTGTGCCAATCAGCCTGAATTACAATGTCCTTTACGGACGACCGAAGTGGGTAAGAATCTTTATTATTTTTGTTACAAATTATACGTTTTGCATTGAGTAAACAAGGCATTTGTATTTAGATGCGAATGGAGTCACAATTTAAATAACTTGAAATTTGACGCGTACTAGCGGACAATGCAACAATTGTGTTATACATTATTCATTTAGCAATTATTTTTTCCGGAGATCGTTATTTGTGGTTGATGTCAAGGCTTAATATATCGGTCTGTTGATTGGATACGATTACCAATTTCTCTTGTGTCCCTCGGCCTTTTTTCGTCATCAAGTCTGACTTTAAAATAAGCTTGAACAACAACTTATGTTTCATAAATCCAAGTCGCATGAGTAAGAATTTAAAGACTATTTTATCTTATGAATGCCACAGATGTGTATGTTTTTTGGGAGGAGCTATATATCTATATTAAATAAAAAATTATTGAATATTGAATTTATTGTAGATTCGAAATATTTTAAATGAATTTGAGATTTAACACAACATAACACTTATTTTACACACAGTAATAAACAATCAATACAGATAACACAAAGTTACATTCTTGTAAGTGCTGCCCTCTGACAGATCATCGACAGAATCTTATTTTAATATGCTAAATAAAATGATATATTTAACAAAAATAAAAGTGTTTGGACTTTAAACCTAAACATTTCTCCATTTGTGAATTGTAAATAAAGAATACTTTTTTTCCAATAAAATATGGCGCTGTAGAAATAGGTAATGCAGAAGTCAATAAACCTCGCACAGTCAAGTGTCGATTGTAATCTCTCAAGTGTCTCAGGCGAAAATATTAGCGGCCCCATTAAAGGGCCTAATTGAGACGCGTGGGGCGATCGCGAAACACCTTTATAAAAACGTTTTAAACTAAAGAGAGTATGCAATAAATCTCATTGTGGCTACTCTTATCTTTTACAGAGGTAGCCGGTAATAACGAGTGTCAACGATTGAAAATTTAAATATAAACAACTTAAGTACGCTTTTGGTATGTTTTTATGACATTGTTGCGTTTATCTGAATATTCAACGGTTGGATTATGTGTTTTATTGACACAATTTTGAGTGTTTAAACTTCAGAGCTACAACGATTTTATTCATCCCACTGTTATTAACAGATAAAATTAAGACAAGTTTTGTATTTTTAACTATCATCGTGTAATGATATGTTGGGTTCAGTGGAGTTCACGTTTCTTTACGCCCAAGTAAAATTGCATTCGCAGGCAATAATTCTAATCAACAGCAAAACGGAGAAATAATTCACTCCCATAAAGACAACAGGAACGTGTGAAATTACTAATATTAACATTACATCTCGATATCAGCTAACAGTTTCCCTATTTCCCTATTACCTTACAACAAAGGCGATTATCGACCAAACACAATTGTAAAACCATTTATCTTTTTACACACGGGCGCAATTAATCAAGGGACGTTGTCACATGCAAACCACGATCGGTAATACGAGCTTGACAAATTATTTCATGCAATTATACACCAAATTCCTTAAGCAGCAAGCGACAATTTCTTCTGAATGTTTTTGACACATTTCTCGCGAGCTATCGAAGGGGAAAAGGATGATTTCGTGCTAATTATCGGCGTTGTAGCGTAGCAATCGTCTTTTTTGGCCACTTAACACCTCCAATGCCGATTGGTTTTATTTTAGATACAATCGAAAAACATTTAGAAATGTGATATTATTTTGATTCAGATAACGTGACTGTTATCGAGACTAAAGGCGGTAAGCTTTGAAAATGCCGATTAATTTAATAACACCTGTTTTATTGTCAGTCTCACGTCTGCAACGCTGTTATGAAAATTAATATAGATGCCCATTTTTCAAAATGTCGTCGACGTCATTTAGTTCAGTCTAATAACCATGAAAGCGGTTAAACTTATTTTTGTAGTAATTAAATTTTATTATCAATCCTTAGTTATAACAAGACTTTAAGTTTAAAATAACTAGAGTTTAAGTCTGAATATGGATACTGAATGTCCTTATCTTCCACAGTCAAATTAATTATGTTAAATATTCAGGAAAAAGAACAATACAATTCCTTTAGATTAAACATTCATGTGTAATAAAAAATAACTGCAGTTCTTAGTGTCATGAAAGCCTGTTTCTCAGATATTTAAGGAATGTTGAAATTTTGAATTTGTTTTTTGAGAAGGCAACATTTACGCAATAATTATATTTTATGGTGTTTGGAAAACGCACTCCGTCTCTATCTAATAATTCCCACACTCACATTTCTTCTTTCTCTTATAAAATTTTAGAAGCTTTGCATTTGCATTTTTCCCAAAATAATTCTTGCTACTATAAGACATCGTTTGTTAGTCTTCTTTTTACCGTCTTAAGAAGGAAATTTCTTGATCTTCATATAATCAATAAATAATATAAAGTATTAAAGTGGTCATCGCAAAGGCAACACTGCAGGATGCCATACCACCGACCGGACCTCACAGTCCGAGGATCAAGTAGAATTAAATACTAATTAATTACGATTCTTATCTCCAAGACGCTAGACAATTATTTGTGGTGTGTTCGCGGTACTATTGGATGGTACGCTCCGACAAATTGGCTTTCTAGATTCTGATTATGTGGAATTAGAAATGGAGAATGAATGAGGAATGATCACGGAATTGCCCTTATCCGAAATTGTGCATTCTTATCGATTTTGATTAGTTTTATTTGATTGTTAATATAGAGCTTTCTTTATAGAGCCCAGAAACCCGAAAAAGGTTGACAACACTTTTTTGCTGTCAGTTATATTTTTTTATACTTATAAACCGTTAACGAAACGAAATTTGATCATTGAGGTGTCGTTACATCCGTAAGTGGGTATGGGTGGAGCCATTTTTTACGTCTTTGCTTTTAAATTCTATGTGATCTGCCTTGTAATTGAAACAGTTACTAACCTAGAATCAAACTTACTACCACCCAGCTAATCACTTTTGATTGAATATCGGATGTTTCCTTTTTTAATGCGTCTGAAACATATTATACTTTTTGGTGTGTAAAGATAACTGCTTTTATATTCTAAACTTTTATTTGTTTTTCAGATGTCAGCGATAGATCCTGATTGTGGTGTGAACGCTGTCGTCAACTATACACTTGGGGAAGGTCTGGCCAGACCCCAATTTGTCGTGAAACCTGATTCTGGAGACCTGTGCATTGCAGCACCTTTGGATCATGAAGCAAATGCAGACTTTGAGTTTCCTGTTATCGCTACTGATAGAGGTTTGTTAACATTTATATACAATAACACATGATTTATTATATATATCCTAGAGGGTAAGAATTATCTTTATTATATATAAAATAAAGAACTGTTGTTACTAAGCTCGAAAAGTACTGGATTACAACTATTTTACTATTGGACTATTACAATTTATAACTTGGGCAAGAAGAGCTAACAATAGAAAATAATGGTAGCAGCTGGAAGAGGTCTATGTGTTTCTACACGCTGATCACCAACCGGCACATCTGATGTTTTAGATAAAGTTAGGTTATGTAACTAAAACAAATTTTTATATATAATATACTGGGTATCAGCAAAAAAGGCTTGATAATAATTTCATATAAAGTCTAAAATGAAATTACTTTTTAGTACTTGATGCAAGTAAAGTCCACAGTGTGAAAAGTAATTGTAAGCTGCGTATCAATGTCTCCAAATAAAACTTAGAAATATAAGGTCATCAGGTATCGTTATCAGCGACAAAAAATACAATTAACTGTAATGTAGCATAGCGCTAAGGAGAACAAAGATCCACCCTACCCATTCATTATCAATTGGAAGCAATAAGTTCACCTGTGACAGCTATACGTATGCATATAAGGTTTAAAATAAAGCACCAACGAAATGGCATGAGAATAAATTCCGAAAGTGTCCGTCGGCTCTTGTCCCTGCAAACCTCCTTGATTTATGCGCCGAGGGGGCAGAACTATTACTGTGCGTTTTTATATCAACGCGTAGTTAAAGGAATTTTGTGTATCGCGGATTAGTTCTAAATTCAAACAAGATTTGAGAAATTTCTTAGGTATATTTTGCAACTTGTTTTGAGATGTTTAGTTGCTATCTTTTAGAATAGCGTATTATGCATTTTGTATGTAATTAAATTAATAATTTGGCGTTAGTTTACATAGAAATACTGCGTGTCTCAAACTTTCAGTCAGTTTGTTTAAACAAGAAAAAATATCGTAGAGTAAAATGAAGAAATTGGACTTTACTTCGAAATTGTATCACAACAACAAATTGTATCAAATTCTCATACCCAGCCACTCGTATAGCCATAATTAAAAACATAAAACCTCACTTTGATTTATCTACGATTTGTTTGATATACAGCGCATGCGCAACAATGTTAAAGTTATCAAAACAAAAACTACATGTACATGACCAATCATTTTATTATCACGAAACTTGTAGCGAAAACGTGTTGACATCAGAATAAATCAAGCGGCTGTCAATTAAACATCCTATTACAACAATATACAGACAATCAAGAGACCAATTATTTATATATTCGCAGGGGGCCTCTCCACGACGGCTATGGTGAAGATTCAACTGCTAGATATCAACGACAACGTACCAGCTTTTACCGTGAAGGATTACAACGTTTCTCTTAAAGAGGGGAGGGTATCAACCAGCGAGCCAATCGTTGCTGTTTCGGCGAGTGACGCTGATTCGGGCAGATTTGGAACAATCACATATAGAATCGTTGGTGGGAACGACAATGATGTCTTTCGAATAGACCGGAGCACTGGAGAGATATTTGTGATAAAACCAGCGCTGATTCAGGCGAATGGAAGGTTCGATCTGGAAATATCGGCGACGGATGGCGGTGGCCTGGCGGCTCCTCAAGGTGCCGTTGTTCACGTGAATGTGATGCCGGCTGGTGTTGGTGCGGCGCTGTTTGATAAACCAAGATACAATTTCCGCGTTAGGGAAGATGCGAGGAGCGGGACGATTGTTGGAAATCTCAAGGCGACAGGCGGCGACAGAGGTAAGAAATAGTTCAAAATATCTTGGTTATTTAAGCATTCATTATTTTATGATTATTATCAGATCGTGAGCAGTATTGACCTAGTGACTTCAGCGTGTGACTCTCATACCTGAGTTCGTAGGTTCGATCCCCGGCTGTGCGCCAATGGACTTTCTTTCTATGTGCGCATTTAACATTTGCTCGAACGGCGAATGAAAACATCGTGAGGAAACCGACATGTTTTAGACCCAAAAAAGTCGACAGCGTGTGTCACGCACTGGAGGCTGATCACCTACTTGCCTATTAGATTTAAAAATGGTCATGAAACAGATTTAGAAATCTGAGGCCAAGACCTAAAAGGTTGTAGCGCCACTGATTTTTTTTTTATCAGATCGCCTTCTTCATTGTTTTGATAAAAGCCATCTTAGATTAATGAAATTATTAATATAACTTATTTTATGTAATTTGGTGGGTTCGAATCCCGACAATCAATCATTGTTTTAGTTTAGAATGTATAAAAGTCTGGGCCTATTAATTAAACTAATAAGTCATTTCACAACAATCTCCGGAGCCAACACTTTCCATAAAAAATATTTAACTCTAACTCATTAAAAGTAGTTGCCTGGAAGAGATCGTTTGAATAAGGCCGCCATTTAGCCTCCTTTTCATTTAATTAATTTAATTGCACTATATGTATGTATACTTGCAACGAAGTGTTAATAAATAAATAATAAAAAAAAACACACTTTTTATAAACAATTTATTCCTAATAATAAGATTTATAGTATTACACATTTAAATAAGTAATAGAGAAAGAAACATCGATTGAAAATGTTATAATTACTTAAAAACTCTTTATAAATAAACCGTAATACGTTCTCGAGAAAACAGTTCAGTAAACAGTCGTTTGGGATTACATACAAAAGAAGTCACTTAGAGATAGATTAAATATTTATGTAAAACTCGAAACTACCGGGAACGGGGCCATTATAGCTTCATTTTATTAAACAAATTTATCGAAATCGTGCGAGCTTTGTTTTGTTTTAAAATAAAGGCATTGGCGTCTAGTGTTACTGAATTGCTAAGGTATTCGTTTAATAAATTTTATTGTTATATATTCCATAATGAATAATATATTAAACAAGTATATCATATGATTAATTATTAGATAATATGTGCATGCATTAAAAAAAATATTACTATTAATAATGCTTAAATTTTAATTCCAATCATAGTTAATATTTTTTTTAAATTTATTAAAAGGAAATTAAAAATGATTAAAAATCGTTTTATAATATTACATTACACTTATAAACTAGTACATTAATAAATGTTTTTTAATATTAAAATAAAATATTAAAGATGTTTTCAGTTTTGTAATCAAAACACGTTTTATTTTTAATATCTAAATATGACTTTGTTTGTTAGCCGAGAAACGATTTTGCGGCTCAAACTTTAAACAAGTACCTTTACTCCATGAAGGCAACAATTCTTGAATTTTTTTTTTGTTATTTAGAGGTGTTTCCGCTCGCGCCCATAGCATCTTTCCCAACACTATCTATGCACAAAATATGTAATCGTCCATTGTCTGGCGACGATCACGACTTTGTGATGAGCAGCCATCTCCAGGTTCCATACACTCCTTAGACTTTCTAATCTCTGCATAAGTAACATAACGGTTAAGATTTTATTTTAATTCTTCTGCTCTTTATTTTCTCACATCGCGAAGGTCTCAAAAGCTCTAAGAACTCTATTCACATTGATACGTTTAATATTATTTATTTATTTTAAGGCACACTAACAAAACACATACAGACACAAAAAACACAATACACGTGCAAGTGTACACAGCATTTAGGGAAGGGAGCATTTATTTATTGTATCTTTTACAATTATATAAGATAAAAGAAATAATACAATAAAAATAAACTAGATTAAGAAACACCAATATTAAATCAATAGCATTTGTTATTTGTTTTTAGTGACGGAACAACGGCTGCAACATATATTGATATACGTAGATTCACGTACATATTATGATGTTTTTAATTCTATTTCTACGTAAATCAGTGTTTATTAAGCTTAAATCCGAGCCATAGTTTCTAAATCATACCACGTCAATAAACAATGCCGGCTATCTCGCGGCGATGCGTTATGTTTCACTAATATTTATACAAGTACATTTATATTTACATAGAAGTGTAATAGGGCAAGGTCGACAGTGCAAGATCTGTTGTAGGTTTTAATTTATTTTTGCTCTCAAACATGTTAAAATGAGGACAATCAGATGCTTATGAAAATATGTTATAGAAAGGATATACACGCGTGAAAATGACATGTTACCAAGCAGCGCTAACCAGATCAATGCATTTCTTGCAGGGCTTCATAAAATTTAATCATTTTTTATATTATACGGTTTTAATAACCCAGAATAAGAACTTAAGAAAGTTCATAAATTGATGGAAATCTATTGCATATTGAATACAGTTTCTACTAGAATTAATCGTTTTATTATTGTCAAATTGTTGATTTGCAATATTACTTAATCTATTTAGTACTTGGATGGTAAGCTATTTTCGCGTTAAGTTAAATCTCTTCACGTCCTAAATTTTGGCGATGTTTTACTTGTGTTTTAGTCATTTTAATCCGGAAAACTTCATCTACCTTTTCTCAATTTAAGATTACGGTTGTGGCGAAATTGTTACATCAAGTGTGGTCACGTACCTTACAAATTAGAATCTAACTGTACGTAGTAACGAATGCACCTTATTAACTTTTCATGACCCTAACCATTGCATAATAATTTGAGATTGAAATACCTTTTAATTATTACAATAACAGTCAAAATCTGTTAAAACGATATCGAAGGGACTACTCCTATTTGGTCGTAAAAACTGATAGTCGTAACAGCCGATGTTGTTATTAAGAACCTAATACAATAGAATTAAGCCGGGTCCAACCTTTGATTTTGGTCAATATAACCGGTATGTTGTTCTAAACGATGTTGTCGTAAACGGTTTTGACTGTATACAAAATTAAGAAAAAGTGCGATAACTAATAGTTTTACCATCTTATAGAAGAGCAGTTTATCTAGTAGCTAAACTTGCTAACCCTAAGAATGTGCGTTCGAATCCCGGATGTGCAATGAATTTTTCTTTCTACACTTGAATCTTCCATAGTAGCTGCAAGACTTAGACTTAATGGAAATGCGTCCAATACAACCTGTATTTGACTTTCCAAAAAAATGATGTTCGTACTTAACGAAAAAATATTACAATGCGGTGTAACAAAAGGCGGGTTTCTTCGGAGCCACGTTTATTCTGTTGCAAGTCGCAGCTCTGTAAATCACTGAATTGCGAACAGAACCGTTAGACTACGAGCGTTGTCTATGAGAATAGCGCGTTCATTGTTGTACGGATAGCGGCATTTAAAATTCATAGTTTGCGTGTGTCGGTGTATGTAGGACCCGCCCAGCTCTTTCTTTGAGATCTCGTGTTCCAAATCTCTAACTGTTTATTTTCACTGTTACAAGACTTTTTTATGTGTCGGGATGATAAAGGAAGCTGGAAGTGGCGTACGTGGTTAATTTTTTAATTTATATATTAGTATTTGTCACAAAAAATTAAAAACTTAGTAATAAAATGTTTATGGCGTACAGGAAGCCCTCAATTCCCCTTATAATAAATAATTTTAAACTCTGAGTAAAGTGATTAGCTCTTTCACTTATTTAGGACCTACAGATTGGCCGTTCAGCACTATACCGTATGGTTTAGTTGTTTTATTAGCAAAATTCAATTATTAACATCTCAGAGTATCGAAAAGGAGTCATTGTTTTAAATTATTTCGAATAGTTACGGTGAGTCCATCTATTCTCACATGTGCGGGAGCCACTCTACTCCACTTCTTTTGACGTATTAGGTAATTTGTATGACTCTAATAATGACAACAAAGGGTAGATCCCTTGCAAAATCTGGGCGGGTCACTCATAAAATATGTATGATAAGCGGCACTAATAAACGGACATACGTTTAGGTCAATATTAATAAATTTAGTGGCAATTAACCCAGCGGTGGAAGGTTGCAAATCACATCTGTAGATTGAGAAGATATCGTTTAAAAATTATCCTATATTGTATTGATGGTGTATGGCTCAAGAAATGCAAAGAGGAAATTTAATGTGACTTTTGCTATAGAAACTTTCTTTACATTTAAATATTTTTAAGGGAAGTACGCTTACTACTGTTGCTTTTAAACACACACTACACAGCTAGTACATAGTAATGTTGTGCAGACGTCGCGATGTTGTTATTACATATAGTGTATTCCATATACCTTTCTCACATTAACAAAATCAACCCCGTTTTGAGTCTGATTTCTCTTTTTGTATTGTTATTTAAACTTTTTAGTACATTTTGGAGTCGTTTCTATTTATCGAATATTTATTTATTTAGTCGAATCAAACCTTAAAACAGCTCTTAATTTTTTTCTATCGTTCGTATCGTTGCATGCAATATAAAAGTAATATTAAGGAGTCGCATGGCTTTAAATAAATAAAAAACTAATAATATTACATGCATGATGTAAATGATATTGCCTCAGTTTCCAGTGGGTCCCAGTGAATAACATTAGATTAGGTTTTTGTGGCGTTTGTGATCAGGTTAGGTTATGTCGAAGCCAAAAATTTGTACCTTCTTTCATTCATTTCACAAATTATGATGTTTTCATTAATTTCTATGGAGTTAAAGAACATGCGCCATCACATTATTGCATGGTACACCATTGCCAAGCGATGAAAATATGTAGAAAAGATTTTGTAGCTGGAGACAAATTTATCTAAAACATAATTTATTTACGAATACAAATAATGATTTTTTAAATTTAAATTTAGAAAAACAAACTACAGCCTAGCAAAAGATTTCAAAACAAAAAGGACTCATAAAAGATACTATGTAGTACGAAGACTATAAACCTTGGCTAAGCACGCTTCATCTCGTACCCGAGTCGGTTCAATTTCGACGAGCTCACTTTAATTAGAAAGAGCATAACAGTTCAATGTTAAACGCACGCCCCATCAGATTTATAGCACAGTTGCCCGGAGAGGAACATCCATTAATTAAAAAATATAATTTAATGAGCCCGAATCGAGTTTTGAGGCTGTGTCGGTAAACTAATTTGTTTTACATGTTTTTTATTTAATTTATTGAAGCTGAAGTTAATCAGTGTCAAACATTCGTTAGGTTCAAAATCACAAATATTACAAGCATGGGATGCATAAGAAAGTTGTGATAATTATTGCAAATGTTGGTGACTGATTTTTAATCGTTTAATCACTGAAGATCTCCGTGGTGCCAATGTTCTGTAGTGTGTGTGTGTGTAGGTACTGATCATATATATGTGATAAAAAGAATAAGGGAACAGATACAGAGAGATCAAACGTTGTAGCGTCTCTTCTGTGTTCACACAATAACACATTTGAATTTAAATAACACAATCTACTTATTAATTTTTATATGAACATTTTGATAGCAGAAAGTAATACACAAAAGACCTTTGCATGTCCGGTACACGTTACACATATTCTGCTAGGGACTGTGGTTTAGAATATATAAACTCACTCAAAGGTTCTGCATAAACTCTATATCGTACGTATTATTAGCATTGTGAAAGGAGAGTATTACAAACTAATATAATATAGGTATTATCACTATTATAATACAAGCTAGAGATGATAAAACCACTACGGCAGCATTATCAATTCAATTACACCGGACCACACGCAACTTATTAAGTGGTCGAACATTGCGTAAAGGTACTCTATAATTTTATTTATATTGCATTCTTGACTGAGATATATCATAATTAAGCAGGGAAAGGGACTATTAAAAGTTTTTATGATAGATTTCCGACTTCTTGGCTTTTTTATGTTTACGTTGACGTTTTAGTACTAATGTTTACGATACAATTTTGGAGATAACATGTCAATGCTTCTGGGAATCAGTATAGTTATTATGTGGTTTATCTGTTGCCGTAGTTTACTTTGATCTAACTATTTTGGAAGCGGTTGCAATTATATTACTTATAATAATTTTCTTTAAGCTTTTTTATTTGAGCAGTGTTGGCCTAGTGGCTTCAGCGTGCGACTTTCATCTCTGAGGTCGTAGGTTCGATCCCCGGCTGTGCACCAATGGACTGTCTTTCTATGTGCACATTTAACATTCGCTCGAACGGTGAAGGAAATCATCGTGAGGAAACCGACTTGCCTTAGACCCAAAAAAGGTCGACGGCGTGTGTCAGGCACTGGAGGCTGATCACCTACTTGCCTATTAGATTAAAAAAATGATCATGAAACAGATTCAGAAATCTGAGGCCCAGACCTAAAAGACGTTGTAGCGCCACTGATTTATTTTTATTTATTTATAATAATTTACTTTGGTGATTTCGATAAATATTTATCATATCATCTTGACATTAGCGATCCTTTACCACCAATGACACTAATATTACGCCGAGAACATTTTAGAAGCATTCTCAAAAAAACTTGAAAATTAAGATTTGGTTTACGCTTTCTTGCAAGACGACACGATTGGAAATTTGAAATTCAATCCAGAGAAATCCAAGGATACGAATAAATACAGGCGAGGTCGTCCAACCCAGCCCCGAAACGACAGTTTTTGCGGACAACTTTCTATGCCCCTTTTTCACTTCAATTATTTCCAAGTTTTTGTTCCACGTTATTTGGACGGCTTGCAACTGAAATTGTTTACACGATTTATGTGTTAAAATGTTTAGTTAAGTGTTGTGTGCGAAGTGCAATCACGTGCGAAAATTCCCACTAATGATAGCGATGCCTTAACGACATCGGGGAAATTAGATGGGAACAACTTATTTACCTTTCGTAACCCTCAGAAGAGAAATAATTAAAAAAATCCAAACTAACATAAGGAATGAAATGGGTTCATGCTTCTTATAAATTATTACCTTTTGTGGGGAAAAGCTAAGAACTATGTTGATGATTTTAATATATATAAATAAATAGAAACATAGCTGTATATCATGTTCTATGCAGACGAGGTCGTGATGATCAGCTAGTTTAAATTATAGATAACTCCTGCTTTTTTGATATGCTGATAAGAATAAGGCAGACCTTTCTCAGCGCCTGCGCCCTTTAGCGATAATCGAACTCACAGATAATTAATTCATTAAACTCAAATCGAGAATCGAACAATTCGCATAGGAAATCTTTACAACTCTTAATTGAAGTCAAATGGTGGTTCGTGAGTGAGATAATCGCGGTGCCATTAATGATTTCAATTTAGAAGGGCATTCCAAGTGTGTTTCGGAGTAAATCACGGCCTTGTACTTAGCTAATGAATGATTGATCAGCCAGACAAAGTGGTACGCACCTGGCTTATTTCCATAAACTATTTCGCAACTAAGCCTGTTTTAGACTATCATCGTCGATTAGATAATGTAAATCTCTTTATCTGTTTCAAATGTGACAGATTACATGATTGATTTACTAATACATTTTATAATTCGTATATAAGAATATATTTTTTATGGTCGCAGTAAAACTTCATAATTTATTATATTTCTACTTTACACGATTTCAGTGCTTTGCAGCAATCATAATTAGCAAATTTACTCATTAGAAAGTAATTAATTAACTTAAGGTTAAATCTGTGTTTAAAAGACTAGTTACTAATGTAACGTAAAGTTATAAAATTTTAAAATATGAAATAAAAAACACTTTAGACAACAATCACAACTTAGCTGTAAAAAAACTTAACAATAAATTGAATAACTGCAATATCAAATAAACTTTTGAAGCGAACGAAAGGAACCCAAAATACCGGGAAATTGGCAATTCAAAAACAAACATTAAAGTCTAAAACTTGCAAAATAAAAGCATCAGACTCAAATAATAAGCGGGGTGCCGACGGATTCGGACCAGTTACAGAAACAAAGAGTATCCGATACATCGTCAAGCCCGTATATCAATCTTGTTGCGTCAACTGTCCTGCCCAAAACGTACGGCGAAAAAACTCGGCCGCAAAAACGAGCAGAAAAAGAAATACGACTGAATCGCTTACTGTGAGAAGTGCCAATTAAAATTTGATAGATAGAAAGCGGTTTTTTCGGTTTTGACTTGATTTAGGTACTGATTTAATAACATTATTAATATTATCAGATCATCAATTATTTGGGGATATCGATTTAATGAGTGAAATACTTCAGTATTAGGGTGTGATAAAATAATTCAGTGGCGCTACAACCTTTTTTGGTCTGGGCCTCAGATTTCTGTATCTGTTTCATGATCATTTATCAATCTAATAGGCAAGTAGGTGATCAGGCTTCTGTGTCTAAAGCCGGTTTCCTCGCGAAGCTTTCCTTCACCGTTCGAGCGAATGTGAAATGCGCACATAGAAAAAAACCATTGGCGCACAGCTGGGTATCGAACCTACGACGTCAGGAATGTGAGTCGAACGCTGGAGCTACACTGCTCTCTCTATTAAAATGTGATAGTTCATCTGAAATTTTGGTTTTTTTTTAAATTGTTAATTAATTGGAAGTAGTAAGCTAAACTTATAAATCATACGTGTTAGTCATGTTAAAAAAAACATTGCTTAATATTTCATTAAAATATACCAGTTTTTGGTAAGATATAAATACAAACGATGCACCGACAAAATCATAGCTTCAACTTATATTAAATGCCATTAGATGTCGAAAGTAAAATGATACGGACACATAAATATTTATGGTCACCGTAAATAGCGACTGGTCAATTTTACCGCATATTATTATCCAGGGAAATTGAGTTGAACTGACTACACACAGACGAGGCTTTATTGTGGCTATTGACGTAAAAAATAATAAGGGAACTATTGATTATATTAAATTGAGTAGGATTTATTAATTTAAGACTTTGTTGCAAAAATCACTACAAATTATAATGATTAAATGGAGAACAACGGTTCGCCTTATAGCTTTTGAGCGATCTGTTTAAGGAAAAAAATAATAAATTACGTAGGAAAAGATACTATAAAATTTGTTGTAACTTTTGGTATCATTGGTAATTCTTAACCCAATTAATTTTTTTAATTATATTCCCCCTTCTGTAAGGCTATTGAGACCTTGTTTTACGTATATTTTTCTTAAGAAAATCTCATAATCTGATGGGACAAGGCACATTTATGAAAATGAAGGTAGATTTTACGATTAGATTTGATTTTGACGGTAGATTGATTGTATACTACATTACACACATAATCATTAAAAAGTAAATCAGTGGCGCTACAACCTTTTTAGGTCTGGGCCTCAGATTTCTGTATCTGTTTTCATTTGTCATCTAATGACAAGGTGGTGTCCGCTCTGTGTGCTGCGCGGAACACACCTCAACTTTTGGGTCTATGACAAGCCGCTGGTTTCCTCATGATGTTTTCCTTCACCGATTGAGCGAATGTTAAATATGCACGTAGAAAAAAAGTCCATTGGTGGACAGCCGGGGATCGAACCTACGACCTCAGGGATGAGGGTCGCACACTGAAGCCAACAGTGCATCATATCATTACCCCATATAAAAAAGGCATTCTTATTGTTTATTCTTGGTGACTGTATGTTTAATCATAGTTGAGATATTAAGAGCCACATGAAAGCGCAGCGGAATTATTTTATATCGGTACTGTTTCACAGAGACTTTACTGAAGGGTAATTATTTTATGGACGGCTTTTGTGTATTATTTAATATAACTGTTGAAACAATATCCTTTATTTAAGTACACTCATATTAACAATGCATTGAATTATATTTGACATATAAGATACTAGTAAATAAAATTGTCTCCGTGACTCATTTGGTCTACTATTAAACATTTTTCTTTAAAAACTTATACAATTGATATATATATACTAGAGAAACTTCTATAAATTCACGTTTTTGCAGGTAAACTGATGCGGTACAGTATAGTATCAGGTGATCCAGGACACCAGTTCACAATAGAGCCCCACACGGGAACCATCAGGACTTCTGGTCAATTGGATCGGGAGGCTGTAGCCACGTATCTGCTCAACGTTAGAGCTGCGAATGGGAATACGGCCAGCTATGATCAGACGCAGGTAAGGGAATAGATATTTTTTTTTACATTTTTTAATTAAAAAATAACGTGGCGCGAAAACCGTTGGAGATACTGTAAGGTGATATTAAGACCTTGGCAGTTTTTAGGATCCTAACATTTTTTATTAATCTCTAAAGTAGTTTTTCCCAACGTGGGGCCCGCCCCCCACATGGGGCCTATTTGATTGTTAATGTACACTATTCGAAAATTTCTTAAAATTATTTGGAATCTGAACTGAACTATAAACCTATCATTTAACAAGAGAGTGAGTAAGAATTTCTTAAGTGAACAATTCAATTTTTATATTAAAAATGATGTAGTTTATATAGGGGGGACTAAGAATTTTAGAAAGGCTACGGTGGGGCATGGCACAAAAAAGGTTGGGAAACACTGGTCAAAGGGTTGTTTGTGTCAATTATTTATATCTATCTTATGTGATTCCTGATTAAAATTTGTGCAGATTACTTGGTCGTGAATTGTCGTAACTGAATATTGGAAAAATTCAGAAACACTCGAATACAATAGTTATTTCTAACCTAACACTACAACAACTTGCATTGCTGTCAAAATATTACCAAATAGACGCTTAGAAACTAATAAAAAATTTCAGGTTCAAGTCACTTTAGAGGATGTAAACGACAACGCCCCAGGCTTTGGTACATCATCAGTTAAGGTATCTGTGGCGGAGTCAGCGGCGCTTGGATCTGTGGTTTATGCTGCGAGAGCCATAGACGAGGACGAGGGAAAGAACGGGCTGGTCACCTACACTCTTCTTTCAGCTACTGGGCCCATGAATACTTTCGCAGTGAACTCACAGCATGGACTGGTTACTTTATTGCGGTAAGAAAATAGATATATTGGTTTTCCCATGACAGTTTTTTTATTGAATAGGAAAATGGACAGGATGCCCACGTGATGCTAAATGATACCGCCCATAGACCTTAAGTCGAATTGGTTTGGAAATACTTAAAGGAGCAGTTGGAAAAAAGAGAGATATGATCGTCTGAATAAAAGAGTCAGTTATCAGTAGTCAGTTAAGTACCCGTATTAGGTTTTTAATTACATGTATAACTGTCAATATATGTGATAATGTAGTAATGATGTAATGTCATTAAAATTATCTCAAAAGGTTTCCGCCTGGCACTTGTTAGTTATTTTTAAATAAAGACTCAAAATACTGTGTAGAAAATTTCATTATGGATATTTCTATTTATTTTTAGGCCGCTGGACTACGAGAACCTTGTTCGACATACTCTTGTGATATCAGCCAAAGATGGTGGTTCACCTCAGCTTGCAGCTAATCTCACTCTTGTTGTGGATGTACAAGATGTTAACGACAACCCACCTGTATTTGAACATGATACATATAACGCCAATGTGTTAGAATCCGACGCGATTAATACAAAGGTAAAGAATAAGGCTAATTAAATATATTAAAGATGGCGCCCTTATATCGTTAAACTTATACGTAAATGTAAAACCATGTATGAAGTTCATTGAATTGACTTACTGACACTTGCTCGATTGTAAGATAAATAAACATTAAACTAGTGACTAATAAATGGTAAGATCGAGTAGAGTTTTTTTTACAAATTACATTATTGTATAATTTACAGATTCTTGAAATCCAAGCGATAGACAAAGACACAGGCAACAACGCACGAATAACCTACCGCATACACAACAACACATACTTCAAAGTACAGCCCAGTACCGGGTGGGTGCAACTCGCTAAAGAACTCGATCGAGAATCGATCCCACAACACAACATGACAATAATAGCTTCGGATAATGGGATCCCGCCGCTGTCGGCGACCGTCAGCCTCGTCGTCAATGTATTAGATGCTAATGATAATGATCCAGTTTTCTCACAAGCCAACTATGAATTCCAAGTTGAGGAGAACCGCAAGGCTGAAGCGTTTGTTGGGAAGATTGCGGCCACTGATGCTGACATGGCAGATAACGCGGCCGTTAGATACAGCCTCTTTCCGACTAATACGAGTTTCGTCGTTAACCCTGTTACTGGTGAGTGGAATTTAATTTCTAATCGTGAGCGTCTTTAGCAAAATCACAGGTTTTATGACATAATTGAACAAAACGGTTCTAATTGTAAAAGATTTTATGGTATATCCAATATTTTGAGATAACTTTAATTTATCGTGTTTCTATAGGAAGTTTAATGATAATAAAGTCTTAATTAGCCCTCGTTTTCATTTATGCATAATATTCATAAGTTTTGAATGGTTTCCTGTCTCAACATTGTATGTGCAAAAAATAAACAGCGGGCAAAGCTAATAGCGTAGATAAAACAATACAGATTAATACAAACTGCGCCGTCCTGGTATTTGCCAAGCTCCAAGTCCTAGCTGCCACTCACAATTGTTTGCGCAGCCGGCCCCTTTGAAAGCTAAGACCCAAAGTATGTTGTGACTTAAGACTCATCGACTGTCCAAATAGTTTGTGTCAACAAAACCACATTAATACCTGAACAATTTAAAGGAATAGGGAGCAGTTTTACCTTTGTTTGCTTCCCCGAGAATATGATATTTTTAATGACATTCCTAGTTATTGACGAGAGAATTTTGAACAAAAAAATTATAAAAAATCATCCAATTTTATCTCTTAAATATAATTTTGTACTACAAAGCGATGTAGCAGATTCTTTTCTTTAAGTTTAATAACATTAAATCGAAACTCAAATAGAAGACTATGGAGTCGAAATTTCTTTATTTTTGTTGAAATCTTGTTTAGCTTTAGTTGCAAGATGTCGTTATCACATGTAAGTGTTCGAGAATGGTCACTAAATCGATGAGATAAGGATCGTTCACGATTTTATGCAAAAAAAGGAAATGTTAGTTTAAGTGACTGATGAATAACCGTTTTATCTCAATTCGGCTTATCGACACCCCTTAGCTAGTTAGCATCTTAAATGCAAAGTAAAACCGTAAATCATTGACGATGACAACTGTATACTACCAAGCTGATAGGGAATCCAGATTTCCTCACATACTTTTTCGGATACTGCCTCTTATGTCCATAATCGTTCGTGACTTGCTCGTTTTATTTGTCGGCGATTCAAAGAGGTGATGCCGAATTCAAAATACTTGAATCAATCCTTTCTGCCAATTATTAAACGAAGTGTTTATATAACATTTGCGAATAGGATTCCATTTGGTTTTGGTTACTACAAAATATGTAATTAAATTTTGTGTTGTAATCGCTAAAATGCAATATAAAAGTTGATAAAGAACACCTGTTTAGTAAAATTGCATAGAACATTATTTAATAACTTCAACACTCGTAGTGTTGATGAATTACCTGCGTTCACTTTGAGTTATAAACATCCTCGCATGCCCAAGCGCCGTGACCTGCCATTAACTATTATTAAAATATAGAAGTCTCGCTTTTCTATTTCATGTTTTATTACAAGGCAGGAGATACTGTCCAGTATTTAATGCGTGTACGTGAAACCTGTTTGTGGTATTTAATTTTCGAAATTATATTGTATGTTGCTTTACAGGAATTATAACAACCAAAGAAATGCTCGATAGGGAATTTAAACATACTTATTCCCTTTTCGCTGAAGCCAAAGATCAAGGTTCGTTGCCCCGCTCGACCAGGGTTCCAGTTATAATAAAAGTGACTGATGTCAACGATAATTCCCCTGAGATAGTTGATCCTAGAGAGGATGTAGTGAGTGTAAGGGAGGAACAACAGCCCGGAGCTGAAGTAGCGAAAGTAAAAGCGATTGATAGAGACAATGGCCCCAATGCATCTATCACATACTCAATACTGAATGACCGTGATACAGATGGCTTTGGTATTTTTGTCATTGATTCTTCTACAGGAGTTATTAAAACAAGCACAGGTAATTAAATATAACTTAAACTTTCTTTTAATTATTCAAAATATATAAATAAACTTTATTTGAAAGAACCGTATGTTTATCAGCTTTGGAAGTAAGTTTTAATGTGTATTATAATAAAGATATTGTTTTGTATTTTCAGTGTTAGATCACGAAGAGAGGTCAATATATCGCTTGACCGTAGCTGCAACAGATGCGGGTCAACCTCCAAGACAAACTGTTCGGCAATTAAAAGTAGAGGTTCTAGATTTGAACGACAATAGACCTACTTTTACCAGTTCCAGCTTATCCTATAAAGTACGTATTCTTCTATTGTTGATAACAGCTGTAATTTTTAAATAAATCACAAAAATAAACCTATTATTGTTTATGCTTACAAAGGATGTTTAATGTAAGTAAGTAAAGTGAAAAGAAGTTTTGATTTTAACTGTTTGTAATTAAAATCGTTGTCTTCATTTTCAGGTGCGAGAAGATTCCAAAATTGGGCATATTGTTGGAACTGTTACATGTTGCGACAGCGATCCAAATGAAAATTTGATTAATGGTGATGAAGAACGACAGATATCATATCTTTTGATGTCGTTGACGTCAGACCACGTACCTGGAACTTTTGAAATCGATAGGCGAACTGGCTCTTTGGTGGTGGCACGTCAGTTGGACAGAGAAGTCCAAGATGAATATCGACTTGAAGTTAGAGCGTTGGATACTTCGGCTACTAACAACCCCCAAAGCAGTGCCGTCACCGTCAGAATTGAAATTATCGACGTAAACGATAACGGTCCGCAGTGGCCGGAGGATCCTGTAAATATAGAAGTGCCAGAAACTACAGCAGTTGGTATAAACGTATACAATTTCACAGCAAAGGACATAGATGCAGGTGTCAATGGCGAACTGAACTATCACATAGTTTCAACAGTGCCTCCTACTAGAAACATGTTTAATCTAGATCCTCTCACTGGCGCTTTAACGCTCACAGCTTTGCTAGACTTTGAAATGCTGAAAGAATACTGGCTTGTGGTAGAAGCAGTGGACCAAGCAGTGACTGTAACTGAACGAATCTCTACGTCTGCCACCGTACACATAGCTGTGGTGGATGCAAATGATAACACTCCTACTTTTGTTTCTGCTCGTAAAGTATCTGTCACTTTGAATGCTTTGACCGGTGTGCTGTATCAAGCCTTAGCCATTGACGCTGACTCGGGAGATAACGGAAGAGTTTCTTATTATATATCTAACGGAAATGACCATTCTTACTTCTCTATGGATTATGATTCAGGGAAGTTAACATTGTCGAAAAAGTTTTCTTCTGAATCTTCGAATATAAGGCCGGGGCAATATAAGCTCAATCTCACAGCTTCCGATCATGGGATGCCATTTCCCAGACAAAGTCATATGACATTAAGTTTACACTTGCTGGAATCGACCAACACCCCACCTCGGTTTACTGAAACACTGTACAAGGCGAACATTAGTGAAGATATCCGTCCTGGTAGCTTCGTAACAAGAGTTATGGCCAAATCATCAAGAGGGACTTCAGGTAATTAAATTATCCATTCAAGATTGAAAGAAACCGTTAAAGTAGCTGATAAGAGTGATTTGAATATGACATTTTTTTTCACTTCTGGGACAAAACTCTGACGTTCCACTTTTAATGCATTATGTCAATGCATATTGATCTAAGCTGAGCTGTGTTGATCTATTTGTTTCAATAATCTCGTTTGATCGAAAATAACGAATATATATTTATTTCAGGTACGCTAAGCTACATGATACCCTCAAACGTAGCAGATGATAAGTTCGTAATCGATGAGCGGACAGGAACAATCACTATCAAATCTAAAGTTGACCGAGAAGAAACTGGACAATATATTTTTCCAGTTTATGTCACTGATTCGGAAAGCTTCCAATCTCCAAGTAATTTTGATGTTGCGACAGTAACTATAAACATTTTAGACGATAATGACAATGCTCCATCATTCAAACCTGGATCCTGCTATACTTTGACAGTGCCCGAGAACAATGATCCTGAAATTATACACACAATATCTGCCACCGACAAAGACATCGGTGCTAATGGAATTATTACATACAGCATCACTTCAGGAAATAATGGAAACAAGTTTAGTATTGATCCCACTACAGGAAAACTCACCGCCAAAGCCCTAGATCGGGAAACACAGTCCAGATATGAATTGACAATAACGGCCTATGATCATGGATCCCCTGTAGCCCTACAAGGCGCATGCAATATAACGGTAATGGTGGAAGACCAAAATGACAACGATCCCGTTTTCGATACGGGTCATTACTCAGCCGCCATCGCAGAAGACGCATCCCTCGATACTTCTATCATTAAAGTGAGAGCCACTGACGCCGACCTAGGATACAATAAACGAATAGTTTATTCCCTAGCAAATGAGAGTCAAGGGTTGTTTCGTATCGATAATAAAAGTGGCGTCATCTATACGACTGGGTAAGCAAAAAGTTTTAACACTTTAATTGATTTAATAATATATTTTAAATGTTGTTATAATTGATAATAATTACTGTTTCTATTTCAGACATTTCGATCGGGAAAAAATCAACGTCTACCATTTTGAAGCCGTAGCAACAGATCAAGGTCGTTATATCGCGCGATCGACCAGGGTTTCTGTAGAAGTAACCGTCAACGACGTGAACGACAACAAACCCATATTCACAAAATATCCATTCAAAGAACAAATCGCTACACTTATACCCCCGGGACAAAGTTTGCTTAGAGTTTTCGCAACAGATAATGATATTGGGACGAATGCTGAAATTATTTTTGAACTCCTTGATAGTTCAAACCACAAATTCCGGATTAACCCCACAACTGGGGTCCTAACGGCCACTCAAAGTTTAGCAAGCGAAAACGGTAAACTAATACATCTAAAGGTCTTAGCCAAAGATAAAGGAAATCCACCACAAAGTTCTGAAGGCCTCATAGAACTTCGTATAGGTGACTTTTCTGACCAAACTTCCACATTAAACTTTCAAAACTCAACTTACAACATTACCATAGAAGAAAATGTACCCTATGGACGCGAGGTCCTTCAAGTCACCGCCCTGCGAAGTGACGGGCGAAGACAAAGAGTTATATATGAAATCGGCAATGGAAACGACCAGTATGCCTTTGAAATAGACAGTAACAGTGGCGTTCTTAGAGTAAATACTTCAGATAGCTTAGATTATGAAACTTATCCAGGACCGAGACGGAGACTCGTAATCGTTGCAAGAACCGAAGGATCATCGCCCTTGTACGCTTATTGTGAAGTTGTTGTAAATCTTTTAGACCAAAACGATCACGCCCCACGGTTTACTCAACAACAATACATCGCCAATGTATTTGAAGGCAATACGAAAGGTGAATTCGTCGTTCAATTAGCTGCAAAGGATGAAGACAGGGAGGCGAACGCGAGAATATTATATCACATAGTGGATGGTAATCATGACAACGCATTTATCATCGAGCCTGCTTTTTCGGGTTCCGTTAAAACAAATATTGTTCTCGACCGAGAAATACGAGAATCTTACAAGCTAACCGTTATAGCGACCGACGAAGGAAACCCACAAATGACCGGGACCGCCACTTTAAGGATAAACGTCGTCGATGTCAATGATAATCAGCCGACATTTCCGCCACCAAACGTCATATCTGTTTCTGAAGGTTTGTAATAAATATAAATACAAAATAATTAACAGTTCTGCCTTTATATCTCTTATTTAATAATCTACATAATTATATATCTACATGATGTACTGATGCATAATATGATCGAGTAAAGAGTAAAAATAAATATCTGACCCTTTTCGCCATGAATATTTAAGTAGGACTGGAAAGGAACGGTATATGAATCTTTTCATCTTTTTTCATTTCATTGTTTCTCGGCCAAGTTTTAGTTTTGTTCATTTTATTTTGTATATTCATACTCAGTGTACGGATCGCTTGATCTTATTTATTATTTCATTGTTTACAGGAGCAGAAGTCGGCTCAATTCTAACATCAGTTACTGCGAATGACGTGGACACCTATCCGGCGTTAAAGTATGCTTTAGTTCAGAACGAAAATATCTTCTCAATTGACAGATACAGTGGCAAAGTGGTTCTAAATAAAGCACTCGATTTTGAAAGTCAAAAAAGTTATATCGTTAACGTTACTGCGTCGGACAACGAACATGTTGCTACGACAACATTAACTGTAAAAGTTACGGATATAAACGACAATGCTCCAGTTTTTGAAGAAGTCTCATACAGCAGTGTTTTACCGGGTAAATAATAAACTTTTTTTATTTATAATAATAATAAATTTGTATTTTATTCATAGAAAATAAAAAAATTGCCATATTGTTGGTATTTGGAGACGTTATTTTATTGTAATTCAATTTCATTTCAGAAGGGTCAGGCACTATAAAAATTGGAATTGTAAAAGCTACAGATAAAGACAGCGGTGAAAATAGCAATATTTCATATCAATTTCTTGAATCAAAGGATGGATATTACATAGATGCTGTCACTGGAGAAATGTTCGTCAACTACAGCTCCCTTCCAAATGACCATCGAGATATACAGCTGGCGGTTGTAGCCACAGATCATGGAAAACCTAACAAATCGGCAATCACATCGGTCAGAGTCAGCAGTGGTGCTTCATCGGAAATCAAACCCTTTATTGGTCAAGACACCTATAGGTAAATTCAATACTTATATATATTTGGCCATTAATTCTCTAGGCTCAGACTCAGTGTGTGATTTGGATAATCACTTTTTGAGGAAGTAAACTCACCTCGCACGTCTGCATAATCACTCAAGTAAAGTAACATTAAAGTTATCATTATAATTATTTTTACTTATTAATCAAATATAAATTCATTTTTTCAGGATAACGGTAAATGAAGATACCGAAGAGGGTACATCCTTGTTGCAAATCGGTGGAATAAATGATATTCTAAAGAAATATAGCCTTGACTTCAAAATTATTACCGGAAATGATGGCGATATGTTTGATATTACAACAGAAGGTGCATTAATACTCGTAAAAAGGCTCGATAGAGAACGACAAGAATCATACGTGCTCGGTTTAGCCGCTGTCGAGCAAGGAAAAATGCTTTCATATAAACAAAATAAAACGTCTATAGTTGTATTTGTGACGCTGACGGATGCAAATGATAATGCCCCCATATTTGCTATTAACACATTCGATCTCACAGTAAGCGAGGATGTTAAAATAGGGCATAGTCTAACGCAATTTTCTGTGACGGATGCAGATTTATATGGAACTGCAAATTCAGATATTATTTTTAACATTACTTCAGGAAATGATGACAAGTCTTTTTACGTGCATTCAATGACAGGCGTTTTAACTGTTAATAAAACTCTCGACTATGATACGGGAAAAACTAATTATAATTTGGTCGTCGTTGCCTGTGATCAAGGAGTACCCTGTCTGTGCAATGCTGCGTATATTAAGATTGGAATCCTCGATGTTAACGACAATACACCCACTTTCCCGGTTAATGAGTATTTCGAGGGTATCACTGAAAATGAAAGAGTTGGCACGTCTGTTTTTACAGCTACCGCCACAGATATGGACAAAGGAAAATTTGGCACATTGAACTATTCTATTGGACCTGTATCTTCGAATTACAACAAAAACGACGACGCTTGGAAAATGTTCCAAATTGATTCAATAAGTGGTTTAGTAAACACTAATGCCGTCTTTGATTACGAACTTAAGAATAAATATGAGTTTTCCATTAAAGCTTCAGATATAGGTGGCAGAAGCTCCACAGTAAAAGTCAGAATTGATATAGAAAGTAGAGATGAATTTTACCCTCAGTTTACTCAGAAAACGTATAATTTCGGTGTTCCAAAATCAGGTTCTCTACCGGCAGGGTACATTATAGGTCAAACTACTGCAACAGATAGAGACAAAGGTATAGACGGTCGAATAGTTTACCAGCTATCTACGTCTCACACTTACTTCAAGATAAACAGGACTACGGGTATGATTATTCTTAAGAAAAAAGTGGATTCAATACAAACTTTATTTGGCGGAGATAAATCAATAAGCCTAGTAATAACTGCAAGTTCAGGCCGACAGGGATCTCTTACTAATAAAACTGCAGTCGAAATATTGTTAGACCCTGCCGCAATCGTATCAGATGGCACCAACATCTTGAATGATCCAGCATTAGCTCAAAATAGTGGATTGTCGGATTGGGCTTTAGGGCTTCTGATAGCTTTTATATTTATTATTATCATCTTCGCTGCCGCATTTCTATTTTTACATATGAAAAACAAAAGACACAAAAAAGAAAATAAACCTGGATTAAGTTCGGAGGGAGTCGGAGCAACAAACAGTTATGTAGACCCCAGTGCATTTGATTCAATAACGATACGCAATACTGGTGCTGTCAATTCAGCGAACCAATTTGCACCTCCTAAATATGATGAGATCCCACCGTATGGTGCTCATACTGCCAGTTCTAATTCTGGAGCCGCGACCACTTCAGAGCTGTCGGGCTCAGACCAATCGGGTTCTAGTGGACGAGGATCTGCTGAAGATGGAGAGGACGGAGAAGATGAAGAAATAAGGATGATCAATGAAGGCCCACTTCAACGAGACAGACAAACGAATGGGGTAGACGATGATAACTTATCGGACGTATCTGTTCATAACACTCAAGAATATTTAGCTAGACTCGGTATTGTTGATACTGGCACCGGTGGAGGTGCATCTACATCATCGCGGAGATGCTCTGAAAATGTTGCAAATAAAGATACAATGTTGCATCATGGGCCGATAGATCCAATGCACAATATTTTTGACGAGGACGGGCCTCACGAGAACGATATCACGAATTTGATTTACGCAAAATTAAACGAAGTAACCGCCAGCGATAGAGGCAGCAACGCGGATGAAGCGAGTGCTGCCGTAGATCGAGCAATGGCTTTAGGAGCATTTCCCAGTGCTCCCGGTGAAAATACTGCAGTACCCACGGCTGGGCCCTCAATGACCGGAAGTTTAAGTTCTATAGTACATTCAGAAGAAGAGTTAACTGGTAGTTACAATTGGGATTATTTATTGGACTGGGGTCCACAATATCAGCCTCTAGCTCACGTGTTCTCAGAAATAGCTAGGTTAAAAGATGACGCTGTTTCTTTACAAAGTGGAAATAGTGGAGCCTCTAGTGCTAAAAGTAAAGGAACATCAATGTCTGGAGGCAAAAGTGTGCCCCCGCCTTTATTGACTACCGTTGCGCCTAGAAGCTGTCCGGCGCCTTCGTTGTCGTGTAGGCAGCCTCAACATTTGTTACCTCGTTCGCCTATAAGCCACGACATCCCAGGAGGCTTTTCAGCTGCTGCAGCCATGTCTCCTTCCTTTTCGCCTTCCTTGTCCCCTCTAGCAACGAGATCGCCGTCGATGTCACCTTTAGTGGGGCCGGGGTTACCTCCCGTCCCAGGAAATAGAAAACCTAATCATTCCACTATGAGACTATAATCAAAGACCAGTGAACTTTGTAAATAAATCTCGACTGTTTGCCTTATAAGTATTGTATTAGTGTATTTATTGACCGATGTGATCGGATTGGTTAATTGTAGTAACATTTTGTGCATGTACTGTATTTTATTAGATGTGCTCAAAGTGATGTTAAGTGCTAATTACCGATTTTGCGGTAAATGTAAATATCTCTTTTCGGGTGTTAACTTTAACTGTATATATTAGATTGTATGTGCCTTGTATAGTTTAAATAAAGACTGCCATGTTATACGTATTAGATAAAAAACAGCTTTACATAAGATATCGCAATTTAATAGTTAGCTTATTCAAACACTTTGTAAATCACATATGTCCAACTAGTTAGATCTTTTGAAAAAATAAATGTATACCTCTAAATTAAAAATGTAATTAGATAAATTATACTGTGATTTTCGTCTTAAATTTAGATTTTATTTGCAATATTTAAATCGAACTTGTAAGTTTAAATATTACGAATAAGAAAAGTAATGTAAATATTACAAAATAAGTTTCAACGACTTTAGGAGTTGACGTGGAGAAAAATAAAATTGTACGATTTAAAGTTTGATTTTAATTTAACATTTCCTTTATAATGATAACGACCTGATTCCTCACAAATACGTGTTAAATGTATTCCAGAGTTCGAACTCTAGCGATTTAAACAAAACATAAAATTTAAACTACCGACTGTGTTATTGGACACTTATGTTAAATATATATCCTTATTAGTTAATAAGGAAAGAAAAAAATAACTAATTAGTCTTTATTAAGGCTGGATCGCAATGTTACATGATGTCTTAGTAGACACATGTACCTATTAAAAAAATATTACAAATCTAAACGCGTATTTATCGGAACTCTTCAATGTTCTATGATAAGGATGGGTTGTAAAAGATAACAAACCACGATTAAAGCTCTTTATTCCTAATATAAATTGAACATACATATCACAGTTGGGGCTATACTACAATACCTACATTATCACAAAGTATAAAGTCTATATGATAATACTTCATAATTGAATAGGCCCCGAATTAAATAAGGGCTTGAGCAGATTAATATCTGTTTGCCCTACACTTAAGTTCAAATACACAAACGTCAATCTGATTAAGGAGCTCTTCAAAAATAGCTTTAAGTATTATGCGTTTGACCTTTGTGTATTCAAGCACGAATGCCTATAGCTACATGTGAAAATACGTTCAAAATATTACGTCTAAGAAATTAGAAAGCTCCTTGTTACTTGATAACCTTACAGCTTTACATGTCATAAAAACTTCATATTCCAAATAAAAATCATTTTAACTGAAGCAATAATTGTTAGACCACTGCTTCCCAACGTGTGGCCCACGCCCCACAGGGGGCATTTTGAGTGGTAAGGGGGGCAATCGAATTCGGCTGGATATAACACAATGTGACGAATTGGAATCCAATATAAAATCTCTGTGTAGCAAGCATCAGGCGTAAGGAATTAATATAAAAAACTCAGTTATTTAACATAGAAAAAATCTTTATTAAAATTATTTGGAAATTGAATTCCAGTTTTTTATTAAGTTTCAAAAATTGACTTATTGTTTTGTTAACAATTTCCTCGTGATTTCTTCCTAAAGCCTACCATTTAAATTTTTAAGAGTGCTTCATTTTTTTTATTTTTTTAAACCCATCTGCAATCAGCCTCATGGCTTTTATCAGATTTTATAAGAAATAATGACAATTAGGGAACGCAAAACCAATAATTTTTTTATTCCCTCCGTATTTCGAAAACTGTCAGACTGCGGCAAGTTTTGCCCTGTTCATTTTTTAAATATATAAATTATATTACATATGGTCAAAAGAATTTTAGGTTGGCACATAAAACATTGGGAAACACTGTGTATAACATCATGTTTTGGGTAATTCAACAGTAGTGTCTTCAAATCGTATCTTTAAATGCATAAAATCAGTAAACAAAGGTAATATTTTGATCGTATTCGCACAAATATAACAAAACACCTACAGTTTTAACGTTGACATAGCTACATCTATAATCTAATTACATTTTAATCCTACTGTAACTGCAATAGCTTTTAAATGTAAAACTAAGTAAAAATTCATAGGATTCTTATAAACAAGGAATTGGACCACCTACAAAATGCATGTGTTGATTAACGATTTTCATTTAAACGGATGATAAGGAAAGAAATTGTATGTCACAGCTTATAACGAAGTTAAATTAAATGGTTTAAATTTTGTGAGCAATCACCGCTGCATAAGTTGATCCTCATTCCATTGATTTAGTCTACTTTCTCCCATTCCAAGCTCGAAATTACATTGCGATGTTTTAAATACATGATTACATAAATGTGTGTAAAAATTACAATGATTACTGATTACATAACAATAACTAACTCTTATTATTACCTAAATGCATGTCTATAACAACATCATCGGACTCTAAGGACTTCTTCGATGAAACTATATCTAAGTCTGTTGTTGTGGTCTGTAAAGTACCATTCGTAGCTACTGGTTCCTGAAACAAACACATTTTATAAATGATTTATTAAATGAGGTAATTAATCACTTACTTCACTTATATTCTAATATAACTGATGTGTATGTGGGTAAAATTTATGATGTCGTACTGACTCACTAATCAATCAATGGACTGTATTTGTCTGATTAATAAAAATTATTATTATTATTATATTATTTTCTTGTATGCATAGACTTTGTTTTAGAACTTAAAAATAAATAAATCATTAATTCTCATAATAACTTTGTTCTAATACTTAGTAAATTTTAATCAAAGTTGATATCTTGTAAAGTATTATTTGCGCCTGTTAGAATAATTGTAACAATACCTCATTACTTGGATTTAGGGGCAAACCATTGGGTATAGGGAATAACCATTTACTTGTGTGCTTACAATTCAAGAAATAATCAATTGAATTTAAGTATAAAATTTTATAGAAGATTCTAGACTAGTTTAGTCTCGCTACTTGCTCGTTATTGCTAACAAATCTACTATTTCCTAAAAGTGCCTGCATTATCACCCACGTATTAAGAAACATAACTTATGTTTTGCTGAGTAAGTCCAGTTCAGATAAATAAGAAAAACCCTCACCATAGATGCAGCGTCACAAGCCATCAATTCATGTTTTGATAGGTGTTCCACAATAGCCGCTGTGTAGCAATCTCCCAACATATTGTTTGTAGTCCGTATCCTGTCACTGAAATATTTTAACATATTCACTACCATCATTGATAAAGATAGAAAATCCTCTCAAAGCTACAAAAACATTATCATCTGTGCTATACGGAAAATATAGTTTTCCTTCACCTTACCGGAAACCCAGAAAAGTTACTTTCAATCAGTGAGTCAATGGTAGTTTAGCTTTATATTACAGGGAGACACCGTATTAGACCATATAACGATCAATTGGTGGACTAGGGTGTCCTAAGTCGTCCTAATTTCTAAATAGAAACCACACCTCGAGGTTGGCAATTGTACACTTTACCACTAAGCCCGTTATTAATATTTATAATTAAAGTATACCAACCACAGACGTTTTAAAATACTCCTTAATTTTGTAAAGCGTCAAAGAGAGAGTATTGAGATGTCTTAGGTAAACTTAAGGCCCTATCCCAGCACGAATTGCTATATCACTGTCTCTGGGTGGACTGAGGTGCGCAGTGGAGAGCTGGAGCACTGACTACTGAGGCGCGCCGGCCCGTAATAATTATTAGTTATGTAAAACATTAAATAAATTTAATTTTGTAAAAAAAATCGCAAATGGATTACTTGGCTTGCGATAAAATATATCGTGTACATTTCAAAATCATGTTCTATATACATTTTCGTCACAAAATGAATTCAAAGTGTCAAAAATTGGCTATGTTTGGATTGTTTTCTATCGAGCGAAGTAATTTAAATCGTGTATCGATCTTTCAAAATGGATACATTAACTACTCAACTCCACCATATATTTTTTCCATTCCATTCGAAAAATGGAAAAAAACAATGTACTTTTTTGGAGTTTAGCGACCGGAAAGGTCCTTAACCTTAAAGCTTTTGTAGTAGGTGAGAACAGATAATGTACGTATAAGCTTACATTAACTTAGCTTTAGTTTGGAAAGCAATTAAATGGACAAAAACTCTTATATCTGTTAGAAGAGAAAACTGTATGAAAAAAGCATCGTAAGTGTAACTTACACCAGCCAGTCGACGGCGAATAACAGCGAAACATCTTGTGTTGGTGCATCCACTGCAGCCAGCACCACGAGGAGGAGTACCATTGCTGCCGACGGAACTGACGCTGATGATAATGAAGTCGCCGTTGATGTTAAGCTGGAATTAAGCAATGATGTGTTGAAATTTTATGGCGTATTGAAACATAACACAATTTTTCAAACTACACCATTATTTTTATTCCTTTTTAAATGAATAATACAGAGCCGTGTTTTGAACTCAAAGCTGAGAGCTGCCCGCTTAAGTCATTAGGCCAACACTAATCTAACTTCTGCAGAAGTACTTCTAGATTGATATCAATTTCCGTAGGCCATAGGCCTAATGTGCACCCTCTTTGAACTCTTTTAAAAACAGGTTGGATAATTTTCCAAATCCGCAAATACGCGTATCAGATTATTGAGCTGCTAGTGTTTTATCTACATAATAATAATAATTCGTTTAATATACATTGTACTGATACAATGACATAAGTTACAATGTATAATTTCGTTGCCGATTAGTATAAACGGCACTACTAGAGATAGAGATACAAGTACTATTGACCTCGGACAAAGAATTAGTCTAGCTATTCGAAGGGGGAACGCTGCTGGTATCTTCGGAACCTTGCTTTAATAAATATTACCGCATATAAATCTATCTATAAATTATATTATTGAGACGCATTTAATATATTTTAAAAACTATATACGAGAATATTACGGAGCTTTTTAAGTAACGTACCTATAATGTTTACATATATGATAAAAATAATAGTCATACTTACAATATAGTTGCCAGTTGAGCAAATCCCATATGCATATTATTCATCTGGCATATAAAGACACTGGCAACTGCTAGAAAGAGAGCTGTACCGTCCATATTTATGTTACAGCCTATAGGCAGAACGAATCGGGTAATACGGGAGTCGATATGTAGCGGCCCTTCCATCGCACGGAATGTTATAGGTAACGCTGCTGCACTGAAATCGAATATGTCTCAAAATAAATATATTATAAACTTTACTGATTTATAAACTTTATTAAAAACGTTACTATTATATATTCTTCTGATATAATAATATTAATATATTATATAATTAAACGCGAAATAAACGCCAATAATAATACTACTGAGACCTTCTCGCTTCATCTCCCGCTGACAACGATGACATCGACATGTCAAGTTTTGTAATTTATTTCCTAATATTTTAATACCTATATACTTTATTAATACCGGTAACATTTTCGTTCCTTCATTCTGTTAAAGAAGTTTTATTTTATTCTTAAATCTAGTTTTAATCTTTCACTATTAATCACAGTTTTATTATGTAACATAAAAAAAAACTGTGGCGCTACACTCTATTTAGGTCTGGGCCTCAGATTTATGTATCTGTTTAATGATCATTTGTTAATCTAATAGGCAATAGGTGATCAGCCTCCTGTGACTGACGCTGACGTCGACTATTTGGGTCTAATTCAAGCCGGTTTCCTTACGATGCTTTCCTTCAACGTTCGAGCCAATGTTAAATGCGCACATAGAAAGCCCATTGCTGCACAGCCGGGGATCGAATCCTACGACCTCAGGGACGAGAGGCTTTAAAATAAAAATTCTTTAGAATTAAAAAACTATAACATACCGTCCCTAAAATCTTCTAATAAAGTTTGACGAAACCAATGTTCTGAAAGTGTATAATAGGGTAATGTACTTACGTGGATGCGGTGGCCGAAGCCGTCAACATAGCATGAGATAATCCCCAATAGAACTTGTATGGGTTTCTTCTAAGGAAAAGAAAGTAAAGTAATTGCATCACTATGAGCTGATAAAAGAATACGCCAATCGTAACTGTTGTTATGAACCAGGCGAGTTGCGACATCACTTGCGCTGTAAATCAAAATAAATTTGTATCAATATTATTTGTACTCGTAGAAACTGAAGACGATGAACTCAGAATTAGGATTAAACGAAGCGTTTTCTCTGGTCTCAACGAACCTAGCTTTTTAAAGGAGATGTTATGGATATGATATTTCGGAACTGGATATGGATATTGGAGTAAAATTATATCGGTTTCGGATACGGTTACGGTTATGTAATAATTTCGCATTAGGATAGTTTCGGTTATTAGATTGAAGTAAAATATAAACACAAATAGTATGTAATAATTTGGTTTATATTTAGGTTATCAGTTGGTAATATAAATAATCGGTAATATAGGTAAGTAATTATTATATATTTCCTCAATTTAAAGTTTTATCTATTAAAATAAAAATGCAATATTTTTATTTTTTTTATGTAATAGGAGGCTCACCTAATGTTAAGTGATACCTCCGCCCATGGACACTCACATTACCAGAAGGCTCGCAAGTGCGTTGCCGGAAAACAACTACTGTACAGAAAACTACTACTATAAATTTAAGAGTTGTAAAAAAAGCTTTATACATTGCACATATTAACTTTAACTATATAACATATTAAATGTTTTGTTTTTAATTCTATTTGTGAGTAATGAAACCATCAACACTGTCGAAAGGTGTCGTTTTATATATTGACGGCTCATTGGTCTAGTGGTTGGTACCCCTGACTGCGAATCCATACGTCCCGATGTGACGAGCATTTGGTTTTGTCTTGGGTGTTTCAATGTGTTTAAATACGTATTTATATGTCTATCTATCTATAATATGTATTTATATCCGTTGCCTAGTACTCATAACACAAGCTTCACCAGCTTAGCATGGGACTAGGTCAATTGGTGTGAATTAAAAAAAAATCTTATTCTAGAACAAATTTGGATTCCGCCTTTATACGAAACTATCCGAAACTTGTCAAACGGATATGGTTACGGTTACTGATATAATTTTATTTCGGATATACAATATTTTCGGTTACGGTTACGAAGCTCAATAACATCCCTGCTGTTTAATTGGTGCTGGTAACATTTGCGTCATATACAGTTTACTACTCCAATGAATCTCTATTCTTATATTAAAAATAAGAAAGGTGTGTATTTTCGTGAAGCATAATACCAAAGAATGTTACATTATCCCTGAGATACATATCCTATTTTTAAAATCCGTCCGGGACCGCTAGTAAAAACTATAATTAAGATCACTTGTATGTGCTGTCGCATTAAAAAGTCGTTGTTTTAAATTACGTGTAATAAAATTGTATTTATCCTAAAATGTAAGTGTTCATGGGCGAGAATTAACATAAGGTTAACCTGTTATCAGATTTACCTAATTTACTATTACTAATTTACTAATTAATACATTGGTATAAAATTTAAATTCACATACACTAATTTCTAGAATTAAAATATTATATCACAACAAATTAGTGTTTAAAAGTAATACTTAATAACCTTAAGAAATATAATATAATAACTAAAATATATTATTAAAAGGATTCCCTAGAGGCAAGGTTCCGAAGATACTGGCAGCGTTCCCCCTTTGAATATCTAGACTAATTCTTTGTCCGAGGTAGCTGCCAGCTCTTCGGTCTCCTCTGATGTCGACTAACCTATTTGCTATTTCCTTAAAAATTAGGAAATAGCAAAATATTATATTAGGAATTGCTTTTTCCTTTATTTGAAATTCACAACCAAAACTTTCATGCTAAACGTTTGTTTACTGAAGTAACACGGCCGTTAAATATAACAAAACCTAAAAAACAGCTATACCGCCTCCAAGAACTAAATCTGTAAAAAGATCAGCTAACTAGGCGATGATAAAAATATAGCAGAAGTCGAACTTACCAACATTATCGACACCAAGAATCTTTCCAGCAATAACGCTGCTCACACCCACAGGTGTGAACCACATTACACCTGTCACCATTTTCATGATCACCTCGAATATCGCCTGGAAGAAATCCACAACAACTTGCCCTTTTGCTCCGAGGGTGCCTAATAAACTGCCAAATACTAAGCAGAAAAATACTAAACCTAATGTATTTGTTCCCGACCTGAAAATGAACAAACTTTTAATCTTTGTCTAATTTTGAATAGTTTTTGTTTTGTATAAGTACTACTTATTCACGTGATTCTTAAGATGTGTAATCCATATATTATAAACTATATAATACAAACAGATTTACTCTACGAAGCCCCGTACGAATGAAATTATTAACAATATGCATTGACAGTAGTCTAAAGCATTTAGCTGTATATAAGGATATCACTACTTACCTATATTGAACTACTCTAACCAAGGCTGGTTGTGTGCCATTATCTGTACCATTATTTGATAACATTGTCTGGGGCTGGACATAAACGGTATGCGCTTGCTGAAATGCAGCCTGTACTATGTTATCTGGGAAGATGTTTCTGAAAATATCACAAATTATTTACTTTTTTGATACATTAGATATTGCCATCTCTCATTTGTTCCCACTCATAATACACACCGTACAGTCATGTTAGATAAGGAGCTGTTGCTATTTTTGAAGTAAAACTTCTTCAGCGCAGGAGGGTAAAATTTTTAAGGATGAAACGCGTCACGAAGATGTACAGCGTTTTTGTCGAAGAAACGGGATAGAGCGATTGAGACGGATTGAGAGAGAATGAGAAGGGCAAATTACTTATTTAAATTATATTTTTAAAATTAAAATTTCGTAAAGAGAATTTATGAAATACATTAGTATTTTATATTTTATGCAAAATAGTTTCTTGAAATCTCAAATGACGAATTGTAAATTAAAATGCCACGAAGAAACAAATTTAAAAAATAAAATTTATTATTTGTATTAATTTTCGATACTTAAAATTTCAATGATAATGACCATTAAATTCATTAAATTTATAACATATCTTCCTTTTTCCCTCCAAGTCTCGGAAATCTAAAGTTTTACATTTGTATAAATATGAACAAGACTTAAAAATTAGTTTGACAAAGAAGTTTCACTTCTGACATGTGTACTTTGTACGCACGCATTTTTTTTTAAATCCTGAATCTAACCGTCCAGCCTTGCGATTTGCGATGAAAAGGTGGGAGCTTGTAGTTTATTGTATTGTATCAGAATGCCAAATCATAAAATGACTACTTCACGACTGATTTGAGAGCGACCGCCGATGCGAAAAGCGCTCTGTGAGCTCGAAAAGTGAGTTACAGAATCGCAGGGCTGGACTTCACACTGACCGTACGGGTCTACCATATAATTAGCATCTTGTATATCTAGATTAAACACTACTAGAGCGGGATATAAAAAAAAATAAGGTAAAACTTCTACTCACCGACCGATATCCAGAAGACTGTCTAATATACTATGGTCGCTCTTCTGAACTGATGTCCCAGAAATATCTTTCAAATAAGATTCACCTGGGTGAATCAACACCGCCAAAACCACTCCCAGAAAAGCATTGAACATTGATGTTAATACAAAGTAGGATAAGGTTCTTAGAGCGATTTTACCACTCATCTTGGCATTGAGACTGGCCGAACCAGCAATGAGACTGGCTATCACCAGAGGTAGAATCATGAGTTTTAAGAGCCTCATGAACAATTCTCCAGGATATGAAATTATCATGAGAGCATCGGCACCCAGGTGATAAGGTCGGAAACCGAAACCTGCGACAAATATATTTTAAATTTCAACTTAAAGAAAAACTTAGAAATTTAAAATTATCTTTATCAAAACTTGTTTGATAGTATTTTAAACTTAAACATGTAGAAATTTAAAATTATCATTATCGAAACCTGTTTGATAGTCCTAATGCATCAATTGTTTCGTGTTACATACACACAAATAACTATGCCCTTAATTATAAAAATTGTGTATATACATCTCAGATCAACTGCTCTTGCGTTGATCGCTCTCACCATTTCGTTTCAACATAATTATATTGGCTTTCTTTGGGTTGATAGATATTGTATTAATAATTGTTATGGGCTATGTTTTGAAATAATAAAAAGTATAACTAGACTTGTGAATGTGGATAATACAAGTTTGAATATGTATCGATAAGAAAAATATTAGTGCTTTTGTTCTATTCAAAATTTAAAAAGAAGTAAGGTCAATTAAGAAATCATGAAGACATTATCAGACATATTGTTAAACATTCCTGTGCGCTTACAAATTACAATATAAATTAAATTAACAACTAACCTATAGCAATGCCGCTCAATACGCCAGCCAAGGTCACAACCAGAAGTGTATTATCTATAAACCACTTCCTCAACCCGGTATATTCCACTGCGGCAGCAGCAGACCTGGGGTCTGTGGTCTTCGGCCCCCGGTCCCCTGGGCCCATCTTCGCGAACAAATATTCTGAAACGCGATCACCTTTCTCCATTACAGGTGAAGATAATTTATAGTCCAGCGGACTGGACTAGCCTTTAATACGGCCGCCTTTTCCGAGTTGAATTTAAGAAAATCGCCGAGTTATTCCGTAAAATTTCACCGTATTTTTCCGGTCGTGTCTGTTCGACGTAAGCCAATAAATGCGAGGGTTTTTGTGTTTTTGTGTCAAAGAAGCCGTACTTGCGCGCGCATGTCGAGTTAACAGCATTCACAGTTTTTTTGAACGTATCATTGAGAAATACATATTAAATTATATTGCATACGGTTTCCCTCTTGGCGTACTATAAGATGTAAGTGATTTAAGTGCATTGGAAGGGGCACTTGAAAGAATTGATTGCGACATGCGCAATCTTACTACGCATCAATGTGACCTACAGTGAATAATAATCCCACTCCCGTTGCATGCCTAGAATGCACCTACTTTTAGATCTCTCTCTATTCATTATTGCTTTTCTAGAAACATAGCACTTACAGGTAACTCCCACATACCTATATGACGCTATCGGGGATCATTATATAAAACGTGTAACAATTTAAAATTAAAAACCTGTCTTCATGCATTCCACTTAAATCGCATGCAAATTAATTCATAAACTGGAAAAATATTCTGGCTTAAACAAATGCCAAATATATTGGTATTAAAAATTGATGTCGTCTGTATGAAATAGTTTTCAGTTGAATTAATTATTTTTGGCTAACATTAAGATACCCATATAATCATAATTTTATACATTCATTTTCAGCAATACCTACTGTAGTTTTCATAAACGGTTGAAATAAAACATTTACCAAGTTCTAGTAGTCACTTTATATCAGGAGAAAATACACCTAGTTTTCATATGGGATAAGTAATAAATAAATCAGTAGCGTTAAAACCTTTTAGACCTACTATATGGTCTATCATTTGTCGATCTATTAAGCAAGTAGGTGATCAGCATCGTGTGCCTGACACACTCCGTCGACTCTTGGGTCTAACGCAAGCCGGTTTCATCAAGATGTTTTCCTTGTAGAATAAACTACACTAAAATTATACTATCTAAAATTATTATGAATACATAAGTTTTGTGTTCAACGTGACTCGATAACTTATACGAATGCAATAATTGGAGTATATCCCAGAATAATGTTGTAATAACCGGCTAATACCGTCCGGTCCGTATATCACTCGCAGATCCACTGCCAATATTGTAAAAATAACTCTGTATAATTAGATGACCATTGTTACGTTGTAACGTTAGAATTTAAGTCCAGAGCAATTTAAATACCATTCAACATACACATCATTAATCCTTCGAGCCGTTTCTGTAGCACTGGTGCCACGGTATAACTCGTACTTGTAAATAACGCGATATTTCATGTTTTCCATTTTATAAATAAAGACGCAAACAAAAAATGAAATCGGAAAAATTTAATGAATCATGATTTTTGATTTTCGAAAAACAAATGAACGAGTCATAGCTGTAAAAAACTAAATTTTTAATTCCTAACCAACCAAACCGATATTTGAGCTCAAAGTGGCCAGTACGTCAGTACGCTAATTTCATATGTAAGGATCTAAAATTTATTATAATATATATTCAAATTATATGACACGGAAGTAATAGATATCGATAAGTATCGACCCGAAATCTAATTCTAAGAGAGTTGTGCTACTGGTACCTCCATATAATTTTTGACTCCGACTGAATTTCACACTTGTGGCAGTTAGCTAGCATTGAAGCCTATCATGCAAATTCCGGCCAGATTTTCCGCGATAATTTAAAAGACTGAGAAAGTAGAATTTTGTCAATATATGTAGTGCATATGACTTGGGTTTATTAGTTTTACGAATTAAATAAGGCAGGAATGTTAATTTTTTCGGGTTGAATGGTATCTAATATTCTCGGATTTTAATATGCCTCAGTCAAATAATTATTGTTTCATTTTAATATTTTTTAAGTCGAGGCTAAGTCGTCACAAAAGTGACCGAACCGATAGAGGAAGTCTAATACTAAGAAACACGTATGATGTGAATGCCGGGTTATTACATATCTATTATTTTTTGTTAACATAAATTTTTCAATTATCATCCCTACTCATACATGATAAATTGTCTCTAAGAACAAGTGCATAAGCTTTACAACGCTCCCAGAAAAGCTTACGTCAGTGTATCAGCGAATGTTAAAATATCGAAAATGTACGTGAATAAATAATAAGCTATAGAGATACATTGTCTGTTATCAAATTTTTTAATTTAAAAAAAAATACAGTTAAAATAACTGAGTGAATTCAGTTAGTTTAAAATTTATTAGCGCCATACTACTGTTTCATAAAAGAAATTTCAACAATTTCAAAATTTATACAAATCCATATATATACCGATATTGTGAATATTATGTGTTTAATGTTACATATATACTTTAATTTATTTTATTTTATTTTTATTCTCGACATTATCGTATTGGCATAGTCTGTAATGATAATGTATGTATTTCTGTAATAATTAAATAAATAATCAGTCAATGGCTATTTTTATTCCATCTGGTGAAGTAATTTAAAACTGAATTATATTACCTAAACAGCCCTTATTGTAATAAACCGGAACTACAACAAACACCTTTTCGCGGTAGAATGTCACATTCAGTTAAAATTTAGCACAGGTATAAATTCGTTGAATAAATTTATTGCTTATTTAAACGTAACTAAAATACTTGTAAAAGACAATAATATATTACGACGAAATAAATCGTTATGTAAAGTCCTTAATTCAAATTCGTCTAAAGAAGTCACGCTAAAAATCGGACAAGATCTTCTTGAACAAACCCAAAACCGATTTGTGAAATTCTCATTTACTACGCGTCAGAATTAGTTCATTCTAGGAACCCAAAACGCAGTCACTTTTTACATACCCAAATGATTGTGTGTAATAATAATAATAATAATTTTTATTAATCAGACAAATACAGTCCATTGATTGATTAGTAAGTTAGTAACAATAGTTTCTTAAGACCTAAGTAATAATTTGGGCACTTCCTTTAGAAATGTTTATTTCTTCTGATATGAAACAACCAGTAAGACGACGAATCCTCCAAGACAATGTTTTCAACTATTTTAATCATTTGAACTACCGACGTATTCGTCCCATGCGAGGGTCGTCGATAATAGAAGTTCTCCCAAGCCTGAACTCAGCATACCGCGGTAACGCGCAACCGTAAAATTTGGAGTTAATATTGTTCTAAAGTCTTGATTTACCAGCTCCGTAGCAGAATTTTTCAACTTTTATTACCGCATGCACTTGAATTTAAAAAAAATGGCGCTTTTTAGGTCTGAGCCTCAGATTTCTGTGTCTGTTTCATGATCATTTGGTAATCTTATAGGTAAGTAGGTGATCCTTCTGCGCCTGACGCACGCCGTTGACTTTTTGGGTCTAAGGCAAGCCGGTTTCCTCACGATGTTTTCCTTCACCGTTCGAGCGAATGTTAAATGCGCCCAAAGAAAGAAAGTCTATTGGTGCACAGCCGGGGATCGAACCTACGATGGACCTGGACCTGGATGAGAGTCGCACCCTGAAGCCACTAAGCCAACACTGCTCAACTGAATTTTATAATTTTTTTAAATTTAGAACGTTAACACGACGCAAACAAATGACTTATTTTTTTTTAATCAAAGAATTTTTGTTTTTTGTTTGGTTGTTTTTTATTATATTAAATGGTGGATGTAGATAATAAACCGTAACGATGGTAACAATCAGCCAAAGTCACGTTTTAATGGGACAATATTGGTTCAGATAGATTCTAAATGATATTGTGTTTAGAAAGTACATGCAATTATTGGTACAAATAAGTAGTGATGCGTGACAGAAAGTACTTCAACGCACTGTAATTAAACGACATACACGAATGGAATGTTACAATGATTGGAAATGTTTTTAGTGAAAGAATTCGTAACAAAATATTCGAATTGCATAAATTGTATTATGTTTGAAACTGGCTTTATTTAAACCCCTCCTACATAACATCTTTGAAGATTGACAAGGCATGAATAATGCAATTTATATATTAGATACGTAACGATACAATACGAAATATTCTTTTGTCACCTAATAATAGTTCTATTGCCCAAACGAATTTTTTACTTGTAGATTTTCAATGTTTCTTTTATTCAATTGTTAATAAACCTATATAATCTATCTAAGCTGTCGAAGTATTTTTTTAATCAACAATAAGTTAAAAGTTAGTACGAAAATTTAATGATAAATAAAAGAAAAGTTGCTTTCCTATCTTAAGAAAATTACAGCCTATTGGCTTAATAAAACATAACTTGTTTTCCTACTTCAGAAGCTGAAAAATATTTTATTCCATTATTAAGAAGAAAAACAAAAATATTTGTAGAATTTAATAAGTAGTTTTTGCTACTTTCATTATATAAGAATTATATTCATTTAATATATTTTGAATTAAAACTTACCCAATCAGTAACATATAAAATACACTAACAAAATTCTACGCTTCTACGTTTACCACACTAATAACAATATCTTGGTCCATTTCCCATAAAACACTAGAACAGATAAATTTAAAGCTATGAGTTATCACATAATATAAACACTAACTAATTTGCGATGCAGATTTATTGGCTGTCCGCACGTGACTGCACTGTACTTGCTCTTGAAGAACGCAAGCAAGGCTATTTTCATCACTGGTAATACAACTTATTGAACTTTCATACGACAGTTCATGACGTAATGACTCTTTTATTTTTAGACTAAGTTAAAGCAATATGTTTACGTGTATATTTAAATATATAACGGAAAACAACTTCAAGATACGGAGAAATTATGTAAAATGAAACGTATACAATAGGCTCCCAAAGGGTTGGGCTTTTAACCTAATAAAATAAAAGCTCACGGATAGACAAACATACCATTTATTATTAATGATATTAAACATTTAAAAATATCGATGTAATTTTAAAAAGTTTGCGCCTGATAAATTTTAAGAGCAATACATGATTTGTACGTGCCAAAGCTGCCCAACACATTTTTCTCATTCGATGTTTTAATTTTAAGCATGGCGATTCCTGAAATCGACGGAATTATGCCCCGAGAGAATAGTCGGACATAATAAGCATAGAATTTCATTACACAGCTATTTATTTGGCACTAAAATATTTGTATACTATATTAGACATATTTTACTATACGCGAGTTATAATAATATTTCAACTTTATATTTTTACACTATTTAAAGCAGGAACCGGCACATTTGGAAATAATATAAATTAAAACTTATTATGACTAATTAAACTTAAAAAAAAATCTTTTGTATTATTTTATTTATGTTCACAAACATCACACATGTTAAAAAGACGTCAATCAAACAATTATGTTGTATAAATTTAACCATTTCATAGCTTATGATCGATACTTTTCATTCAAATATTTTATGTAGCCATTTCAATAGTGACATCTACCGATTATGTTGTTCAATTTTATATTACACCGCACCGAAATAGTCACCAAAATGTATTTCGTTACAACGTCTAAAGATGGCGTATTTCTTAAATTATAATATTATATAATTTTTTGTTCTTGATATTTTTAATGGGTTGAGATATTATAACATCCTGTATCTAATTTAATACGTAAATATATATATTTTTTTGATAAGATTGATTAAAACTCTTACAAGTAAGCCATAATTTTCTTGTGGATATTTTTATTTCCAAAAAATCTATCAATTTAAAGAAATAAACAGTGGACCGATAAAAATGACAACGCATACAAATATGACATGGCAATTTCTATTTGTTGACTTGAAGATAAGACCTAATTAATTATTGTTTAGGTTTTGGAGTCTTAATTGCATAAATTCTAATAAACGCGAACCTTCCAGTTGAGCTTTTATGAAATAGGTTAGGTCTTGGCGTGATCTAGGATGATAATACGATGTTATAAAAAGAAGCACTTTATTTAGTAGCTGATCTCCAAAATTTAATGTTTGATAAACGTTGACAAATATAAAAAGTAAAGCATTTGAGAAAACGCATAAATTTTTCTGTCCGTTTTATTTTGTCGCTTAGGGTTAAATTCAGAAGAACGCCCGTGATACCGGTGATGTCATAACCTTGGGATCTGGCGGTCCATGAACTCGTTATTGACATCGGAATCTCTGTAAGTATCGCTTAAATGTATTTTGAAGTGCGTGGATGTGTAAGTATCTAAACTTTAATTTCATACAAAATTGTTTTTATTTATTGCACTTCGTTGTATTAAAATAATAAAAAGGAGGGAACTGTATTTAATTAGAATTAAAAAAAATTGAAACTATACACTTAGCCAAAAAGATTGGAACAAGGCAAATCAATTGAAATATATGTGAACAGTATAAATGATAATTAAAAACACACGAAAAAGAAAAGGTCACATGAATAACGATAATTTCAATTAAATATTTTTCCAAATACTAGAGATGCAATAAAAACCAATAAAAATAATATTACTTTCAAATTCATTCATTCATTTTCTAACTGCCATGTTTTATTAACTCCATCTAAAGTTCGTAGCAGGATATACAAGGCAGGTTAAAAAGTGAATGCAAAACCCAGATTTATAGCGCGATAAACCCACCCTTAGATTTATTTGGATTCTTAGAAAGATTTATTTGGATTCTTTCAATTCTTTTTAAATCTTTAAAAATCACTTCAATTGTCTCCAAAAGTAGAATGAACGAATCGAGTAGAAATTTACTAGCTTACAAAGGATTTTTATTATTTGAAAAGTTTATATTTCTAAACTTCTTAACGATTTGTGATTGAAACGGACTTTACAAGTCCGTAACTACCTGTGTGAAATTGTAATGAAATCAGTATTGTTTGTATTCATTTTAAATAATTATTGTTAATTTCATGCATGGAACTGTTTTCTCTGAATACACTTTTAAAAAAAGGGCATATTTAACGTGACCAGACTGTCCCTTTTTCCACTTACGAGTCCCGGTGTCCACGAAATGAACTCAAAACAACGCATGACAACAACGACGCAAAAATGTCCCGTTTTCAGAAAACGCGCGCGAAATTAAGCTGCTATATCAAAACATATATTTTGTTGTTCTGATAAATATAAACATAACTAAACAGTTTGGGTACCTATGTTTTGTGATTCGTAACTTTTATGCCTACTAACTTTTTCTAAATAAATAACTTAATTTTTTTTTCCATTCACTACTTATTATTTGACCTAAATTAAACCAATGTCCCGTTTTTAGTCAAAGAATAAACGGTCACTTTAGGCATACTCCTTCCTCAAAGGCTGTCCACGAAAAAGTCTAAAAAGTCTGTTACGGAATACCAAGATAGTTTATAATGGTACGAGTACTCTCAGTCTACTGTCACTGATAATGTATGTAACAACTACAGTTTCACTAGTCATAATTTTAGTAAAAACAATTTCGTTCTTTGTAAAATTACTTGATTGATTGATTCTTGAAACTCTATAAATAAAACAGACATAGATATAGAATAGTCTGTCTCTCCAAGATTGATAAGATACTTTCATTGGAATTTCGACAATCTAACCCGCTATTTACTTAAACTGACTCCGATTCGGAAATTACACGTCTCACGTGATTGCTTCCACATAAATGACTCCGAAGCAAGTCGTAATAGCTTCATATACTTGACTTTGCTTGTTTACTTTTAATCTATTTGTCCTTAAATAGGTTGAAAGGTGTAAAATAAATTAACGAATAAAAAAAGAAACAATTACCCATAATATGTAAAGGGGAAATGAAGCTGCTTGGTAACGTTATGCCAAAGCCTAATAAAAAAAAAAAAAAAAAGGGGGGGGGTGGGGGGGTAAAACCCCCCCACCCCCCAAAAACAAAAAACCCCCCCCCCCCCCGCCCCCCCCCCCTTTGGGGGGGGGGGGGTTTGGGGTTTTTTTTATTTTAATTCCCCCCTTTTTTTTTTTTTTTTTTTTTTTTTGGAAAAAAAAAAAAAACCCCCCCCCCCGCGGGGCGGGGGGGGGGGGGGGCCCGGGGCCCCCCCCCCCCCCCCCAACTTCGAAAAAGGCTTTTTTTGAAAATTTTTTTTTTTTGGGGGGGGGGGGGAAAAAAAAAAAAAAAAAAAAAAAAAAAAAAAAAAAAAAAAAAAAAAAAAATTTTTTTTTTTTTTTCCCACAAAGGGGGGGGGGAAACGGCTAGTTAAATATAAATTTAATAGCATTACAAAACTGAATCGGTATTTACATATGTATGAATTAGAATTTTTAATATGCCACATTGTATTTATTTATTTTTAAAAGAGCACATACTAACCTATTTTTTAAAAGTGTACACATACAGAAAAACACAGAGCATACACAACATACAAAAAACACAATACATGCAAGTGCGTCAATAACAAGCGTGCACAACATTCAAAGGGTAACCGCCGTTCCTTAAACTTCACTTGTTGCCGGATTTAAAAGGGTTTTTAAGAATATCCATAGCGCAAAATCATGAGCATCATGAGCATACCCCCCCCCATACACACCTTTACATACATACCCTCACTTTTACACCATCACACTACACAGCCAAATTAGGTACCACTTAGTTAAATGGCTGACAAGCTGTTCAGTACTTAAATATAAAAGTTGAGTTATGGACAGCCGGGATTGGAACCCACGAATAAAACGATTCACTAATCTGATAAAACATTTTTTTAATTATTTTACTTTATAATATAAGTAATACATGGGGTATAAAAATAAACTTAGTAATATCTCTATACAAACGACTCTCGTTTAAACAATATTTTGCTTGGCAACATAAAATATGAATATTCGCTCAAATTAATTTATTTTTAATAAATGCTTTAAAAGTTGGACTAGATAAAAAATATTAAAGAAATTTAAAATAAACTCACAATTTCTGCATGGGACGTCTACTTTATAAATTAACATTAGGTATCACTCATATCCAACATCTCTGCAAGATTTATAAGTGCTGCCATGGCACAGTAGATATCCGTAAACCTGGATATTATTTACGGTTCTGTTGGTTATTGAAAAGCATATAGAATGGTTGACATAGCTGATATGGCATAATATCCAACAAAACAGACGCAAACATAGATTTATTCCAAAATTATTTAAATCATTATACAGCTATGTGTAAAAAAGTGCTACAAATAACATACAAAATATAATCTTATTACCAAATATTCAAAAGAATCATGACATAAAATGATTTCACTTAAAATTATCATGCAGTCTTATACACTCTTAAATAGAGAAAATTCTTTCTTCTAGAGCTCCCTAGATATAAAGTATGCACATCAGCATCGCTTGGTGTAGTAAGTAACTTTACAGTGACGATAGAATACACAAAAAATGAGAAAATAGGAAAGTTATAAGATAAAGACGATAGAAAAGCTTTGTAATAACTTGAATATTTTGATGAATACTATATTTTATGAATACAATTATAGCAAGCAATGTATTCGTGACTATGGGATAATACTTTATATAATCCTTCTCACGTATCTTCAGCTTAAATTAGTTTAAAACTTCTAGAAGGCATAATAATTATTGAGGATTAATTTGACTATTTATCATTGTCAAAATATCAAACATGGCGACCGTAGTTCCTATTTTTATATAGAGTTAAGAATCTTTGGTGGTACTGTACTTGTTATTATTCTTAATGGCTTAATTTTGCTATTCAGAGTCTGACAATAGCTCCGTGCTGGATTCTTCTGCAGCGAAGTGGACATCGCACATAGAAGTGCTTGGTTCTGATTGACATTGCTCTTGAAGGCGTTTTAAGTCTTCGCGACGTTGGCGGGAGAAGAATCCATACTGAAAAATAATATAAAAATATTTCTTAATTTTATTTTAAAATCCAATATGATATATTTGGGGTAATGTGATTGTTTAACAAAATTTCATCAATAAAAAAACAATTTTTATGAAAATATAGCTTGTGACATACTGTAGATATAATATAGTGAACTTCATAAATGAAAAATAGATACCACCCCGCCCATGGGCACTCTCAATGCTAGAGAGAACATTGCTGACCTTTTAAGAATTGTTACGCTCTTTTCTTGAAGAACCCTAAGTTGAATTGGTTTGAAAATACTTACTTAGCTGGTAAATACCAAAATAATCCCTTAATTACAAAAATATAGTGCACTGTTTTTAGTAAGGTGCTCGTTTGTTTTGACTTATACTATCAAATTGTGTCTCCGTGTGTCAAAGAGATAAAGATTTCTATATAACAGTGAAAAGGACTTATTTATCTTTAAAGATAAAGTAAAATATTGAAAGGTTAGACTAATTTTTTTTTCTAGTTTTTTTTTTTAAATTATGTCTCACCTTATACATCACGAATACTATAACAGCTAGTAGCAGTATTCCTGCTATACAGCCTATTATCACAGGCCAAATGGGCTGTGCGGGCTCCAGTGATAGAGTTGTCGTTATATTTAACATTCTGCAGATAAAGAAATACAGAGGATTAAATAAATACTGATGTAGCAAAACATACAAAAAATTAAGATATTGATGGAAAAATTTGGCGATATGTTTTTTAGTTTTTCTAAGCCAAGTAAGAAATGAATATTAATATCTTAAAGCCTTGTACTTAATTAATCAGCTTTTTATATAAATATATAGACTGATGACTGATTATTTATAGAGATGAATAGTACGAGCTACGAAGAATCGCATGTTAATTACAATTAAGTTGAGTATACATTCCCTTATTCATACTAACTCAAATTACACTGATTTAATTAAAGTAAATACCGGTCTCTTTCCATCACAGCGTAAACATAATTGGACAGAAAGAGACGAAATAATACTTTAATTAAAATATTGCAATTAGAACGATTTAGACTTTTTAATGGTATAATTCATTTATAAACTCACCTATTTATCTCATCCACTAGAATAAGACTTGTCGTTATATTGTAAATAGGATTCTCTTCTAAAAAAATACCTGAAAAGACAGTATTAGTTTTTGTGAATTTTTGTCCAGAATAATTTTAGATTATAAAAAATAATTTAACTTCTTAGGGCAAGGTTTCGTAAAGGACCCCTAACCTCCTGGACCAAAAAAAAATAAGTTAAATTAGTTCTTCACTTCCGTTGGGTCGTGAGGGGTAGACTGGACTGGCCGATCACTTCACATAGTACGTACGATGAAATTTTAATTTAACTGTCAAATCGTCGTATGTCGGAGTCGTAAGGGGATAAGTGCTATTCACCCAATCCTTGGTTAGTTGTATGCCTGGACATTAGCTCTCTTCTGTTCGGAAACACTGCATCAATTATAATGATTTGGCGCTCATTTCATGCATCAGGTAGGACATACTCAACTTCAATGTCTTCTCCTGTTTTTAGTATTTTAAAATATTTTATAATTCCCTTTTTAATTCTTACTCAACAAAAGTTTCATGAACTAACCAAATCTGTCCAAGTCAATGTACAAGGGTACAAGGATGGGTAGAGAAACTTTGGCGGGTATCGCCCACGAACACTCGATCACGGGCCCCTCAGAGCAACCTTTTATCTTATTGGATATGTTCACCTGCAAAAGAGTTGAATTTATCTAAATTTGTCTATCTAGAAAAAACTTACTTTATAAATGTAACTTATTTATTTTTTCATTGATTTATTAGATCAGTCGTCGCACGGTCGTTGTTGTGTGCGCACGCGTACAGGTGATCCGCGTGGTCAGTCCTTCAATATGGATATCGTAAAGTGTAATAACTGTAACATAGTTATTTGTGAACTATTGGCTTTTGTGCAAAATAAAGCTGATGTAATGGATGAAGACAGTATACTTCGTTTGTGTTCTACTGCGTTCACAACGGATGAAATCACACAGGCGAAAAAATTACTTTTCGAGTCGGTACAAACTATAACGCGAAAGAAAAGAAAAGGTGAAGGAAAAAGTAAGCGAGATATGGAAGATATTCTATGTGTGATCAAAGAAACAGACCCTGATTTGATACCTATTTTTGTGGCAAGGGACTTACATCGTCTTCCCCCGGTCACATTTGATCATGTAGACGTCACGAGACTGTTAAGGGACATTATTAAACTGCAAGATAATGTGTTGTTTATAAAGGAAAATTATGCCACTAAGGAAATGGTTTTGAGTCGAACGTCGGGGATGTATGGTAACAAAAAGAGAGAGGCTGCTATACAAGACAGTTTTGAGTGCAATAGTGATCCAATTGGTCTTTCGCAAAGTATTTCAACGGAAGAATTTCAAACCGATTCAACGAATATCATTCATACTTCTTGCATTGACAACACAAAGATTCAACGCCCGGTGGCTCAGTCACTGTCATCTGATTCGCTCGCACACAGGGTATCATGTCATAGTGACCTCTCACTTTCATGTCCAACCGAGCGGCCGAGCGGGGAAACGGGTTCTGGCGGTATACGACCTGCGGTTTCGCCTGCGCATGTAACATTGCGGCGACCGGCGAGAATCGAGGTGAGTCAGCCTAGCAACAACTCATATTCCGATGCGGCTTCGCGCGCGCCTCGGGAGTCGGAGGTAGCGGGTTCGAATAATGGGAGAATTTGCAAAAATGATGACTGGGTTCTGGTGCAACGAAAGCGAAAGAACAGATTCACTGCGATGAAGGGAAAGGCAGATAATCAGTACAATTCTTTTAAAGCGGCAAATACGAGAATACCGTTTTATATATATAATATTGATATTAATTGCCAGACTGAAGACATCTCTAATTATATTACGAGCAAGACCGGTGTTGACGTGCAATTGGAGAAAGTCAATATGAAATTTAAAAAAGATTATGTAGGGTACAAGTTTATGATCCCTAAGGATAAATTATCGATGTTTATGGATGAGAACTTATGGCCTTGTGGAGTATCTTACCGCAGGTTTGTACAGTTTAATAACCATTGGAAAACAAGGGATGAACAGAAATTAATTACTCAAAATGGTTAAAAATAATCATAAGACACATAAAATTATGAGTTTTAACTGTAAGAGCTTAAAAAGATCTATTGATTGCATACGGCTACTGAGTAAGCAGGTAGATATAATAGCACTCCAAGAAACATGGCTATTACCAACTGAAGTACCGGATTTGGGGTTGGTAAACAAGGACTTTTCGTATTTTGGTAAATCGGCGATGGACATTAGCAGTGGGTTATTGGGTGGCCGTCCTTACGGTGGCGTAGCCCTGTTATGGAGAAATGATTCATTTCAATCGGTGTCTGTGATCCCTTGTGTGAGTGAGCGTATTGTTGCGATCAAAGTGTGTGTCGCGGACCGGTCTATGCTATTTTTTAGTGTGTATATGCCTACAAACGAGCTTGATAATTTATGTGAATTTGTTGAATGTCTTAGCGAAATTTCTGCTATAGTTGAGAATGAAAATATTGAATCTATATATGTGTTAGGAGATTTTAATGCTCATCCCGGCAAATTATTTGGAAATGAAATGTTAAGCTTTTGCGCAGAGCAGAATTGGCTATGTGCGGACATTGAGAGACTAGGTATTGACTCTCAATCATATACTTACACTAGCGATGCGCATGGTACCTGTTCGTGGCTTGACCATTGTTTAACTACTATGGCCGCATGGCGTACAGTAGTAAATGTAAAAATACATTATGATGTCTTCTGGTCAGATCACTTTCCATTGGAGGTCGAATGTAATCTTGAATGGGTTAGACCCATGACTATTCCGCCTAATATTGGTAATGTAAATAAAATTATATGGGGTGAGCGCACAAGAGATCAAATTTATATGTATTTTAAATATTGTAATGATAAATTGAAATTAATAGATTTTCCTCTAGAATTAAGCAAATGTTGTGATAATATGTGTACTAATGTGAATCATCTACCTGTGATAAATAATTTATATATGTGTATTATTAATGTTTTAACTGAATCCTCTATTAATTGTTACGAAAATTTTAGTAATAAGTGTGGAATAACCCATGGGAGAATTCGACCATTGATAGGGTGGAACAAGCATGTCCGCAGTGCTCACCAAGATGCTAGACAAAAATTTCTCTGCTGGGTTTGGAACGGGAAACCTCGGATAGGAACTGTTTATAGTGATATGGTGGAATCGAGGAAACTTTTCAAGAAAAAGGTTAAATTTTGTCAAAACAACCAGGAGCAAATAAAAATGAATATTCTTGCTACAAAACATGAGCAAAAAGACTTCCGAGGTTTCTGGAAACAAACAAGGAAATTGAGTCCGAAAGCTGGTATCCCGGTGAGCATTGAGGGTGAGTGTGAGCCTGTGAAGATTGCTAACCTGTTTAAGAACCATTTCAGGGTACAATCACTTGGACAGTTAAGTGGGGGTGCGGATGCTGGTGTGGTGGATCCGAGTCGACCCTCGCTAGTACCATCTCGGATAACAGCAAAGGAAATAGCTATGATAATAAATAATATGACTAAGGGTAAGTCTCCGGGTCATGACCACCTCAGCATTGAGCACCTTCAACACGCTGGTCCGCATTTGCCTAGATTGTTGGCGCTCTTATATACCTTCTGTATCAGACATTCGTATCTGCCCAGTTCTTTAATGAGAACGGTCGTTGTCCCGATTTTAAAAAACAAAACAGGTGACGTATCGGACTGTAACAACTATCGGCCGATCTCCCTGGCAACCATAACTGCTAAGGTACTCGACGCAGTGCTCGAGCGGCAGGTGAGTAATCATCTTAAATTAAGTGATGCTCAGTTTGGTTTTAGACCCATGTTATCTACCGAGTGTGCAATCCTGTCGCTGAAGCATGTGGTAGGATACTACACGGAGAGGAATACGCCTGTTTATGCAGTGTTTCTTGATCTTTCGAAGGCTTTCGACCTGGTCAGATACGACTTGTTGTGGGGTAAGTTGAGGCAGATTGGCGTACCGGGACCTTACGTGGACCTGTTCTCGCATTGGTATGAGCGTCAGACAAATCAGGTAAGATGGTCAAACACACTGTCGGAGGAGTACAGGTTGGAATGCGGGGTGAGGCAGGGGGGTTTAACCTCACCGGCGCTTTTCAACCTGTATATAAATGAGCTGATCGAGGCGCTCGGTGGCGCCCGTGTCGGCTGCTCGATCGATGGTCACTGTGTGAGTAGCATCAGTTACGCAGATGATATGGTGCTGTTGAGCCCATCGGTCTGTGCTCTCCGGCGGTTGTTGTCCATCTGTGAGAGGTTCGCGGAATCGCATGGGCTCCGCTATACTGTTAAAAAAAGTGAATTGCTGCTCGTCTTTAAGGCAGCAAAGAAAAAACTGACTTATGTGCCACCAGTAACACTAGGAGGCGTTCCACTAAAGAGGGTTACTGAGTTCAAATACCTTGGCCATATTGTAACTGAGCACTTTAATGACGATGCAGATATTGAAAGGGAACGGAGAGCATTAGCTGTTCGTTGCAATATGCTGGCCCGCAGGTTCTATCGTTGTAACGCACAGGTCAAGGTAACCTTGTTCAAGGCGTTTTGCCAGTCCTTTTATACATGTGCCCTGTGGGTTAGATATACGCGGCGGGCATACAATGCTCTCCGAGTGCAATATAATAATGCTTTCAGGATGTTGTTGGGGCTCCCGCGGTACTGTAGCGCATCAGGTATGTTTGCAGATGCACACGTGGATGATTTTTCGTCAATCATCCGCAAACGGACAGCCTCACTGATGCGTGGGGTTCGTGCGAGTTCTAAAAATATCCTGATGGTTATAGGTAAACCCGAATGTGCTGTTTTGAGACATTGGGTTCATATACATGCCTGTGTACCTGGTGCCTCGAATCAACGTAGATATATGAATTAAATGTTTTCTTCTTTGTGTCTTTAATAATTTTGCTAAATTTAATTTTAATTTTACTAACATAGTTATAAGGATTACTTTACTAACAATATATGGATTTTTTAATGGTCCGAATTAAATGATTTTTATTTTTATTTATTTAATTACAAGTAGACTTTGCACTTAATAACCGGAAGTGAATATGGTTTCGCCGGAAATTAAACCCTAAAACTACTTTTCTTCTTTATTAGTAGTGTTTGTAATAAAAATGTGTAGAAGTGTAATTATTGTCTATATAGACATTTCGTAATTTCATTTGTCATTATGTTTACGTATCGTTATTTCGTAATTCCACTTGCACGTGGATCAATCAGTCGTCCTAAAACCGCCATGTAAGTCAGAGGACAATAAAGACAGTGAATTCTATTTCGGTTTTCATTTGGTCTAACACTAAAAATGTTTAAACCAGAGTATAATAGCCTCATTCAATTCCAAACGATTTACCAAGTTTTAACTAATAGAGGTTCGATTCTCGATAATAGAACTATTAGCATAGCTCGGAGGTACTATTATCGGTTTTAAATGTTTGAAATTTCCCTTAACATTGAACTTAATGGTACGTTTACACGCTTGCCAAGCCTTGGCAAGGATCGACAATCGCAAGCATGTAAAAAGGGCGTTTGGCTTGGCTTGCGTGGGCTTGTGCCTGCTTGCTTCCGATCCAGTCGAGTGTCGGTTTTTTTACGCAGATCAAAGGGCGTTTGCGGCAAGCGCTTGCGATGCATTTACATGTTGCCGACTGCCGTTGGTCCGCGTTTAGTAGCCATTGTGATCTCGCGGCGAGTACACGCTTGCTTGATTTTACAAAAAATAAATAAAAAATGAGTTGCTGGTCGAATGAGGAGAGTCTTTCGTTTCTGGAACATTACCAAATGGAACCATGCATCTGCAATCCGAAAGATGCAAATCATAAAGATAAGAGGAAACAAGCAGATGCATGGATTCGTCTTGCTGAACTAACTGGAAGGCCAGTAAAGGAAATAAAAAAGAGATATTGATGACTACTTTTCGCAAAAAAACGTGCGAAAAAGTACGTTAAACCAAATGCAATAGCCGTCACAAGTTCGGTCTCCGCCATGCTTGGATGTATAATGTATATTGCAGACTGACGCATTCACAAGCGTATAAACGCCTTTCAAACGCCAAACGAGATTTGTGGAGGCTTGGGACTGTTTGCAGTTTGCCAAGGCTTGGCAAGCGTGTAAACGTACCATAATATGTTAAAGTTGGTTGCTAAATGCTTTAACGAGATATTTTGCACCGATCTCTACTAACATTTTAAATTTGTGTTGTGTGTAACTGCGGTTATAGCTTAATGTTTTTATTTGGAGCACAAAACAAGTTCGTAGAATAGAAATGTTTCCATTTTATAAACGTTAAATTACTATATTATTTTGTGCTGCCATCAACAGTTTGTTTATTTAGTTGAAAGCGGATGTCCTCACTACTGGTTCGAATATAATTAATACTGTGTTGTATAGTTTTTTACCAAGAAATGCGTTGCGTATTATGAGTAACCCCCACAACGTTTGAGCAACATTGGATAAGTGTCGGTTACTATGGAAATTTATGAAGAAAAAAAGTGCACGCAGTACAAAGTACACATGTCAGAAGTGAAACTTCTTTGGCAAACCAATTTTTAAGTCTTGTTCATATTTATACAAATCTAAAACTTTAGATTTCCGAAATATAGAGGGAGGAAAAAAGGGAGATATGTTAGGAATTTAATTGTCATTAAAATATTAAAAGTGTCGAAAATTAATACAAAATATAAATTTAATTTATTTCTTCGAGTTATTATCACGTGGTATTAAAGTTTACAATTCGTCATTTGAGATTTCAACAAATTATTTTGCACAAAATATAAAATATTAATATTTCATAAATTCTCTTTACGAAATTTTAATTAAAAAAAAAGCATTTCTGTTTTTTTCCCTTCTCACTCTCTCTCAATCGGTCTCAATCGCTCTCTCCCTGTTCTTCGACAAAAACGCTGCACATCTTCGTGACGCTAATATTATTATTGCGTTTCATCAATCAAAATTTTACCCTCATGCGCCTAAAGAAGTTTCACTTCAAAAACCATTTCCTGACAAACAACCATATCAAACACGTAAGTTAAAAAAAAATCACATAGGTCCGTTCAGTGTCCTAATGTGGTACAGACACTTTATCATTTCGTCAAAGCTTAAAAATATGATTATCCATGAACCATATATATTAATAATGGTAAAAAATATATTCCATAGATTTTGCTTATGTTAGTAATATAATAGTAGTCCAAGAGGGAATTCTGTTTCTAGAAAATTCGATTACAGACTCAACCTTTTTGATATTACACAATAATAAAGAATACTTTTTATAATGTTTTGTTTACCTTGTCCGGTATGAGAAGCTGCGCAGACAAATTGAAACAATCAGATGGGCCCAAATTTATAACCTGGGGAAAAAGTTATATGCTTATCGATAATATTGACAAAGAAATTAGTAGACAAAGTTATCGAATACAAGCGAACTTTTACAGGCAACATATAAATATCTCATTATTTATAATCTGTCTTTTTTATCCCGTAAACATAATTTGACAAAAAAGAAGATAATACCATTATAAGAACAACACTTAGTTTTTATGAATAAAAATGGGAGGTACTATTTACCACGAAAAGAAGGAAAGATGTTGATGACTTTATGCATGTTTTAATGCACTTTATTTAATTTTATACTCTTCATGATACTTGGTAATTTAAATTTGAACGCAGCGCATTCACAACAGAGCCATTTTTTGATATGGATACAAAACAACAATTTTTAAAGTAATAGAGCTTTTTTAAAGGGCTTTTATGAATTTTTAATTTTTTAATTTAAATTTTCATGTAACGTTTGTTAAGTGTTTGCAAATAATCAATTGAAGTGCTGCTATTGTAAAAGTGGTTAGATAGTGGAAGCTAGTAAGCTGAAACAAGGTATTTCGTATATGTAAATTGATGTAAAATATTTAATACCTCAAAATTGTGAACGAAGTGAATTCTGTCACGGTCATTAAACTTATCCCTTGAAACAGAGATCGTCGCATTTGGCAACGGCTTCCTAAAAAGAAATCAATATTAAGTTCCGACATGTATAGAACAGGGGCCAAACGGTCCCGCCTCATCTGATGTTAAGTGAATCCCAGAGGGCTCGTGAGTGCATTTCCGTCCTTTTAGAAATTGATACGCTCCTTGCCTGAAAGACCCTAAGACGAATACTTCAGTGGGTAGCTGGTTCCATGTAGTGGTGGTGCGTGACATAAAATTGGCGTAAATAACGCTCAGTTGTGGAACGACGGACGTCGAGGTGATACAGGTGGAACATATTAACTTAACTATTAATTGTAAGTTTCATTAGCTTACAATGCTTATATTATACAAGTTTTGTCTTACGATAAATGAATACCCACGAAAATAACTAATAGTTCCGTAATATCAATTGTTAAGTAGCTGGTCTCCAATGCGTTTACGGCATATTTCCTGTGTTTTTCAATAAAAACTCTTATACATACACAGAAGAAGAAAAACAATCAGTCAAACAAATGCATTAGGCTATCGGCTTGCGAATTTGATACCCATCATTTTAAAAATAATTTGAAAAGATAGCTAAAAAGACATAAGTGAGACGTTTTAGGATGACATTTTGTATGTACCTTAAAAATAAATATTCACATAATACCACAGTAAAAGGTAAAAACCTACCCGCTGATAGAAAAACTTGCTTTTGGAGTTACAAATATAGTTAGTTGTTTCACAACTTTTTCCATGTCGGTGCCTCGGTAGAAGGGTACGTGCAACTCAACTTCTATTGGTATTTCCTTCAAACAAAATAAATTAAAAATTGTTTAGCAAGAACTTTATTTCCTTATAGTGCTGTTAGCGAGAAATAAATATACAGTTTGCGCAGTACAAATACTTTTAAAACTGAAACTGTCTATAATTTAGCGAAGATACTTTATAAAAAAAATTAGTGACGCTACAACCTCTTTAGGTCTGGGCCTCAGATTTCTGAATCTGTTTCATGGTCATTTTTCAATGTAATAGGCACGCTGTCCACGTTTTGGGTCTGAGACATGTCGGTTTCCCCACGATGTTTTCCTTCACTGTTCAATTGAATGTTAAATGCGCACATGGAAAGAAAGTCCATTAGTGCACAGCCGGGAATCGAACCTACGACCTCAGGGATGAGAGTCGCACGCTGAAGCCACTAGGCCAACACTCAATAATTAACTTAATGATTGGTAAAATCAACTTGTTTTCAATATGATTGCATATGACATTAATAATATAAGTCATAAAATACCATAAAAAATGAGAAAAATTTAATAGCCTTTGTGGTCAACAAACACAAACCTTTGTGGTAAACTGTTTACCACAAAGTTTTTGAACAATAATTTATGTTTCTTATTATTTAATACATTAGAGTCGTACATATTCATATTACAGGTTATAAGAGCTTTACTATCGCCATGCGAAACCAACAATTTATCAGAAAAGATAATTGTTCAAGTTTCAAAGCATACCTTATTATTATCTTCCGTCTGGGTGTATTCCACTTCTATTTCCCATTCGACCGACTCCCCCCCTATAAAAGGGGGAGGGCAATTTACATGTAACATTATAATTGTCGAGAGAGCAAACACTTGGCAGCCGTTTTGGTGATGATGGAACGATTAAGTGTATTAATGCACCATAAGAGGCTTCCTCCTTGTTCATGATGTTAATTTTTAAGCCTAAACGATGGTTTGTTCCCGGTATGTAAGGACTGAAATAAAAACGGGAGAGTTCATCATAATATATTAACTTTGCGTAAAATAAAGCCCTCATCAGACCCGCTCACATCTTAAACAGGATATTCTTAAACAGAGCTTAAAAATTTGAAAAATGTATTTCATGTCTTAAGTGATTATTCAAATGTAGTTCGTCATGATCGTAGAACAATGACGGATTTAAAAAAATCCATAATCCACTTTTTATCATATTTGGATATACTACATTGACTATTAAATATTACGGATACATAAAAAAAAATTCCATGTGTTTTAAATTTCAAATTAATCAGTCGTTAATGTGACGGATTTGATAGAAACATGTATAAGATCCCGATATACAACGACCTTCACGAGATTTATTTAATGAAATATTTATTTAATTTAATATTCAATAAATATAATCCATATGGGTTGCCTAGAAATTTCATCAGATATTTTAATTAATATTAAAAAAAAATATTTTTTATAATTTCATGTAGTAATTTTTTTAATTTTTTCAATCAATATTTTTAATCAGGTAGTATATATATGTATCACTATAACTTTCTTTTTTACTAAAGATTATTATACTTTAGTGTCACAAAACATATTCACATAAATAATTAATCGTTAAAAACAACCTAAGTTTGCATATTCTATGGGGGGGCGGGCTATATCTATTTTGACCGGCTTGAAGTTATGTATTGTTATAAATTTACAACTATTTAACATAATTTTAAATTTAACGTTCAACTTTCGATTCGTATACGAATTTATCATAATCATACCAGGTGAAATGTTTAAAAAAATTGTTTTTTAATATTAATTAAAATATCTGGACTGAAATTTGCTAGGCAACCCTGGATTATATTTATTGACATATTAAATTAAAATAAAATAGTTTCTTTAATAAGCATCTCGTAAGTCGTTGTACTATCGGGTCTTAGACAATACTAGAAAAGTGTAATTTAATGTTATTATTTTTATTTTTTTTAAAAAAACTTTTGTTTGCTTGTATTCAAAATAACAGAAAAATTAAAATGATGACAAAAACTAATATGATTATATTATTTTGAAATGGCCGCCCTGTAAAGTTTACTAATTGAATCAATCACTACCTATTCTACTACTATGAATTGTTTACTAACTTTTAAAAGAAAAAGAACCATTATTTTTATAATTTATGTATGAAGATTTTAAATAAAGAGAACTATGATACTATGGGAAATAGATGTGATGTAACTTCACACAAAACTTACCTATCCAATGATTCCAGAGTCATATGTAGCAAAGGCCTACAAATGAGATCGTCTCCACAGTCCCTAGTTAATTGGATATCAAATGAAGTGTTTAATATCGAATCGTCTGACAGCCGGGCAGCGTGTGAGGGAAAGCTTTTACTGTCTGTGAACCACATGTACTGATCGAGTTTCTCATCCATTATGGTAAATGATTTTATTACATAAGAGGCATGCATTGCACGTGACATGGCACGTTCAAAATAAATGGCTTTATTATCTTCATTGCGAGAAATATTTTAAAGTATATAATATAAAACCAAACGTGATATTTTAGATAGACTGGAAATTTTAATTGTGAATTCAATAATATTAAAACTACTCTTCTTCTTGTTGGCTACGAGCCTTCAAACAATAACGTGATTGATCATATTTTGACAGCAATTTATTGTTTCTCCGGGAATCGAACTGTGCATCGAAATTGGAAAATCCATTTTAAATTTGCAAGATTGTTTACGACTTGGAAATAAGTTTTACGACAATATTGTGTATAAACACTCCTAAAATTTTAATAAAGAAACTGTATAACCGTTTTTTCATTAATTTACTTTTCCAGGAAATTTAAAAATATTGAAAATGAAAATACTATCCTTACCTTGAAAGGTTTCGCTAGGCGCCAAATTGAATTTCATTGAAATGGGATTTGATAGATCGGCCGTCGGCTGCCAACAAATTGTATTTTATACAATTTTAATTTCGAAATTTGATTTTCGAGGACGGTAAACAAAGACTTATTATTTAAAAATTTATCCTTAACTTATCAACAATAAAAAGCTAGTATTTTTATACCAGATAATAAGGTTTCATAAAACGTCCAACGCATGGTCCAACTATAAATTATGGGGTGTCGGGTTGGAATCCCGTGTGGGATAGAATAATACGCAATAAATTAATAAGAACGCTATTTCAAATGTTCTAAGAAAATTGGTCAGTAAAGTTTGGGCACGTAAACTGTTGCTTGATCGTATATCATTTATTTATTTATTTAATAACAGCACAATGGCCAAACTTAGACTAAAAACAATAAACAATACAATTAAGATTTACAATACAGGGTAGCATTACCCTCTTATCCCCTCAGGTACCCTCTGAAAGCCCAGTATACCACCCCCATAGCTTCCCAAACAGGTCGCTCTCCGGTGAAGAGTCGAGAAACCCATTAAGCAGTAGAGTAGCCGGGAATGGGCGCTTGTTGTCGCTGGACAGTGCGAGCCGAACGCACAGCGAAAAGGTTATGTTTCCGGCAGCGGCAAATTTGTCCGGGACGTATAGCCTCATGATCTCTCCCAGCAAGTATGCGCTTTCCGTTTCATTCTTAATTACAGCTCAAAACCAAACCTGACTACCGAAAAATTCCTACGAAGCTCTAATGAATTATACCCTAACACCCCCATCAAGAACTTAGTAGGGTAGAGGTAAGGAAAGAAATTGTATCTTCTTTTATACAGATTTCTCAGGAACTTCTTTTGAACTCGTTCAATCATATCCCCATAATACCTTTCGTAAGGGGACCATTGCGCAGTGGCTTCGAGAATTGGCCTTACTAATGATGAATATAGCACCCTAGTGCGTGTCGTCAGACAGCCGAATTTCGCAGGACAAACCTAATCTCCTAAAAGCAGCATCCGTAATCGTCCGAATATGCTCCGCAAATGAAAGATCGGTACAAACAGGACACCCAAGTCGCGGACTCTGTCTACGCTGGCCTAATAACTTTCGATCCTATGCTATAGTGCGCAGGTTTTTATTCGGAGAGGCACTAAAGGTCATCACTTCAATTTGTCATAGTTGAATTGGAGTTTATTTAATTCACTCCAATGCAGCAGTTCATCCAAATCAAGTCATACACAGACGATCATTGTCTCTCAACTATTTTAAAGACCTTAACGTCTCAGCAAATAATAGTATTTTGGAATATTTGATAACGCTGAGGTCGTTAATCATTATTAAAATAGCAACGGTCCCAGGTTTGAACCCTGGCTAATACCAAGAAATTGTTGGATAAGGCTGCGAGATATAGTCCATATTTAACATATTGGTTACGATTTGATAGGTAACTAAGAGAAAACTTAAGCAAATAGGTCCACACCCCATTGCGGCCAACTTTTTGGAGAAGAATGTCGTGTCTATCGATCAAACGTTTGTGAAAATCAAAACATCCACCTGAACGCCTTCAATTTCACGATACTATGTCAGCCAAGTCAATAGATTAGAATTAACTGATTGCGTGGAAGAAAAGCGTGCTGAAGGAGTGATGTGGGGAATGCATTTAGGCAACATTAGCGAGTGTAAGGACATTTCAAACACCTTCGCAGGTAACGATCGGATAGGCTGTAGTTGCTCTGTTCCACACGTTTGGAATGGGGTCACGCGGGATGTCTTCCATAACGTTGGAGACCCCTGAATATAAAATAATATTGATATGCGATATAGGCAATCTGCCAGTCCTTTAATTATATAAGCCGGTTGGACCCGGGTGTATTAGATTTTAGTTTATTTACACTACGCATAATAACTTCTGTTTCGAAATTTTTGATATCAAAATGATTGAGTAGCTTTTGGTTACATTGGCAGTTTTGGAATAGTTTCGGTGATTGCCAAAATACCGATTTAAAGTGACTAGCAAAGCCTCTGCCGCGTCACAACCATAATATTCAACATCATTATAAGAAATTGCAGACTCTTTGCTTTTGGGTTTCTAAGAACGAATATATTGCCAAAATGCGTAGGTTTATTAACCAATTTAATGGGGTATGTAAATAGTTAATGTTAGCTTTGGAAGTCGTTCTTAATGATTGACCTAGACGTTTAAATTCTAAACACGCGTTATTATCATTAAGAAATTTCCACTGCAATGAGTGCGCTTTATTCTTAATTTAGCGATGATTTCATTATTAAAATTAAGGTAGACCCTTTGTTTAGTTAACTTTCGAAATTTTCTAGGAAAACATTGATCAAGAGCTATATAGAATGTATTAAAATGTTCACCGCTTCATCGACATCATCAAGCAAGTAACTCTCTCCAGTCTACGTCCTCTAGAATATAAAATAATGACAAAAAATTTTATCGAAGTTCCATTCATTTACGTTAGTAAATCGTGGTTCACGGGTTTGCGCAGGCTGGTAAAATTTGTAATTAAGAGTTACTTTTAAGGGTGGATGATGAGCGTCAATTCGGGATAACTCATCACCTGATACCGCTCCACTTCACACTGCTGTTACTCGACTCTTCACCGGTAGGACCATTTACCCTCGTTAATCAATTTTTTTGAACTGGTTAGCCCATTTCAGAGGAAACAGTTAAAATTCATTATACAACTTTCACTACAGCATAAAAATTGAAATCTCCTAATATTAAAATCTTATTGCTATTACTCTATCTTTACAATTTACTTACATGATCAAACCAGTTTATATACAATTTTTCAGAAGTTGAAGGTGGTAAATAGACAACACAAACGTATACGTACTGGCCCATAAAATTAAACCTAGCCCAAATATCTTCAACATCGTGCTTTCTATTCAGGTAAACGCGTCAAATGTAAGGGTGATTTTGACAAAGCATAACACCTCCTCCACGACGCCACGGTCTCTGCGAAACAGACCAGTCGCCATCAAGATTCGGGTCACCGCCATCCAGATTTGTTTCTGTTATAGCGACCAATTGAACACCGATAAGCGTTATTGGTTCGTTCTGAATGTTAGTAATTTCGTTTTAAGGCCTCCCACGTTCTGATAATAGGCAACCAGACTTGATTTTTCATTCTTATTATATAGTGTGTTTATTAAGGGAGTCCTATTTATCTTTTGGTTTGCCACGAAAATTAGTTTTCCAAGGCTTGACGCTTTTTTCCGCCCAGCTCTCTTCCGCCATGACAGGTTGCCACACTTGGCAGGAACTCCAATTTTAAATGGCGTAATTTCCGCGGGCGTTAAGAGCTTTACAGAGATATCTTTGGTCGTACAGATGTTTTCAAGGTGCTAGAACCTGTTCAACGTTTGTCCCATATTTTAAATAAAACAAATGGTAATAACTCATTTTCTCTGAAGCCTCGAGAGTTGTTGACCCCGGCCGTGCAGTACCTCGACAAGATAACGAGTGCTCAACCGTCGACGATTGACCGGCAATTTTACTTCCGTGCAGTTTAAATGATTACAGGAATTCGTTGATCTCTTTTTTTAGGTGATTCTATATGTCTCTTAGGAGCTGCTGGCTTGGGCAACTCCTTCACTTCATCGAGGGAGAGGTATGAGTAATTGGAGCCGTTAACGCATTTTTGCGTTTTTGCTTCCGATTTTTCTTGGTTGGAATTGGATGTAGTGTAGTACTTGCCTCGCTTTGCTTATTTCTATTTGAATCAGTATCGGCTGTGGCAGTTTCAGGTACGAATAGTTTATCTTCTATGATCTTTAATCGATTATTTAATACTTCAAATGAGTTGTTTAGAAGCCTCGAAATATTATCAGTTAGGTGGAGACTGCACGTTTAATTTCTCCAGAGACAATTTCCTCAATCATTACTCGCAATTCGGACCCGAAGAGATGGCAAAGTCAGTAATTCTCGATGACGTCGCTGGCTAAAAACTATGTTATCAGTAGAAGACGACTTGGGTAGGACATATTTAAATTGTCAAGGTTATCGTGGTTCTTACATATGCACAGTATACGAATTACTCTCGCTAGTACCCTCCGGACTGGCCAGTGCATTGTTAACACATCTAATGTGAACTGTCGTTGGCAAACAGGCATTTTAATGATTGGTTTAGACCAACTATCATATCGCCACACTCATAACAATCAATTTTCCATTCGTCCCCTATCACGAACTCTTTGTATTTTTATCAGTAATTAATTACAAAAAAGAAAAAAGAAAAGGATCAAGAAACTGTTTTGAACTTGAGATTACTTGCATGAGGCAACGATTTCCGCAATCGGCTAACTGGTTAAGTATGTAACACTTCGAAATATTGGTATAGATGCTGTTTCTAGTGAGTTTGTCGCGAAGACTAATACATCTTCTGTTGTCTGTAGGTATAGGTTTTCACTACTGACAAAAAATCCACACACTAGTGTCACAAGTCACTAGTACAAATTACACTTCCGAAATCACAATTTATAGAAAAATAGTCATTTTGAACAAGGTAAGTCCGTATAAATTTATAAATTATGCTGTTCAAGTTTATTTTTAAGTCTTTTGACGGATTTTGCACTAAACTATGTATGTCCTCGTTACTTTGTGTTAATATGTAACTTTTAAACACATATTTGAACTTTATTTTCCACAAATAATACTTCTAAAAGTAATAGAAATACGGAACTCGTGTTGACACGCGCAACCTGCACTACCCTCTTCATCATCATGCCTCGCCTAGGTAAATATTGGTCATCTCCGATCCTCTCCAAAATTAGGGTCCATCAGAATTCGGTCCATAGTTAAGTGATTAAAGCAGGAGTATTCATAACTTGCACGCACGATGTTATTATGGCATTCGTGTTTGGCGGGAGTAAGGATAGGGCTCAGATGTTACCTGCCTGCGCCCATAGGCGAGCTGAAGGCATCCGTCAGGTTTTAGTGGTTGGGGTTGTAAATATTGTGAGTCCCACGTCATCCCTGCTGGAGTAAAATGCGGCAGGGATATGCGTAACATTTTCTGACGTAAAAAAAGGAAGTATTAACTTACGTGAACTTTGACAATTTGTTCTTCACACATTTCGTTTCCAGGCTTAATAGAGACGCTATACACAGGATCACCGTCAAGCATAGCGCGGTTTCCTTCGCTGTCCACCTCTACAGTTGCTTTCAGATCTATCAATCATTTTACGTTAGAAGAATGCGATATATTTTTCTTTCATTTTTTTATATTATAGGCAAAGCAATGTATAAAGTATGTACCTATATCACAGATAAGATATGCCTAAAATGACGAATTCACTCAAATCTCACCTAATTTGACATGGGACCACATGATCTTTTCAGTGGATTTAATGCAAAACTGCGCCGTGAAGTTAGTCGCATTTGGCTGAAGATTCATCGCGTCTGGCACCTTTATGCTAACTTCAACGTGTACGGTTGGTATACATCTGAACACATATGCTGTATTGGATTTATATGCTCCTACTCCTAAGTCTGAAACGAAAACGTATGATTTATAATACGTCGTAGATAGTACTTTCCTCGCTCTACGAATAAGTATCGCACACAGCGAGGAAATGCTGCCAGCGTTAAAGGTACTCTGCCACATGGACCAACTATTAAATTTCTTTTAATTTTCTTTTTATTAATCTTTATTAAAAATTGTAAATACTGTATATATTTTGATTGTTATCTTTAGATCATAATAAACGATAGTGTATTTTTGATTTATAATTCTATTATTACATTTCGTTTGTATTCGTATGACGTATCATGCAGTTTTCCTTGTACATTTAGTAAATTTTAGTAATTAAGTTGGGATAAATAAATTCAAATTGATTTTCTATTTAATGTAATATTTTACAAAAGGCATGATGACAAAAATAAATCAGCCTCAACTAAACTATTGATTGAATCTCATTTCTCTTGACAAAGAGACGAAGGACCACTACAGTTAAATATTAGATTGAACAGGTTAAGTGCTTGTTCACGTTGGAAAGCGCGGGCGCGGCGGCGAGTGCGGGCGCGGAGAAGTACTTAGACCGCACGTGCGTTTCGTATGTGAACACTTGGATATTACGCCATATTATGTTTGATATTTCGTGACCGCGCCCGCCACCGCGCCCGCAAGTCAACGTGAACAAGCACTTAGTCTGTACTAGACCTAAATTAGATAAATAACCATTTATTGATAACTTACCGTTACAATTATTATTATCAACATCTACACCCTTAGAAATCGAGCCCCCAAAGGTTTTTGCGCCCGCAACCTGAATTCTCTGTATATATTTACAATTTAAGCCAGTTTTACTTCCTCTATAAATGTATACAGCACCGGATCCATTGTCTTCCCACGGAGCGCCAATGGCGACATCTGGAAATTAATAAAATTCAACAAAAAACACAGTCGTGTCGCATAAAAGCTACAGTATATCGCCTCTGTCATATATCCTGGAGTTATATGATATTTGTTTTGGGTCGGACGGAGTTTCGAACCCCTATATACAGGCCTATAAATAAGCCTGATGGGTAGTCAAATACACACTATATTCCTGCAAGTAATCCACCTAAAGGATATGGGACGCAAATGTGATCTTTGTAACTTTGCACTAACTGATAATTTATTCAGGTCGTTAAATAATATCGGAATTTAATGATGTAATATTACATACTGGAATATAATACAATTAAAATTGGTTTTTATTTTGAATTTTCTTGCCTAATATTAGGCTGAAAGGTTATTCGTTCACAAAAACATAAATATTTAAAAGTCGAGGGGAATAGACATCTGTCGAATTGGACATGGAAAGAAATTGGCCGTGCCAAAAAATTATCTGGAATTGTATAGGCAAAATATCTTTTGTATAACAATCAAGGTTTATAATAATTTACCTAAAACATTAAAAAATATTCTTACTAGAGTTTTTGAAAATCGCCTTAATGAAAAAAGAAATTATGTTAATGATTATTTGTGTGAAACATTATGATTAATATTAATTTGATAACGTAATAATATATTTTAATAATGTGATTTTAATCACTAAAAATAATATAAGAATTTACTATAATAATATGACTTATAATGTATGTAACTTTGATGTAAAATTCCTTTATGACAAATGTGTGGCAGAATATGCGAACATGATTGTATAACATTTTTGTACTATATTCTTGCAAATAAATTATTATTATTAATGAATAATGCTTCATTAATCAATGGCATTTCTGTAATGAATAATATTTTTTAAAACTGAATGTTTGACTAAAAAATGTTTTGTTATTGAACAAAAATATAAGCCTATTTATGGTAACAAAGCATCGCTTTTCGCCAAGTACCTGAATAGCCATCTCCGTCTACATCTCCAAGCTCAGCAATTGTAAGGCCAAAATGTGCCCCACTTTCACTCGAACCACGGACAAATCCGGCAGCTTTTAATGTAAAGCTATCCTGAAACTGGAGTTACCATTAGTTTTCTAGGGACGTATGTATAGGATAGTGTTAAGGAAGTAGGTAAATATATAGGTTTAATAGATATAAACCAAATTGGTAATTAAAAATATCTATCAAAGAACGCGTTTTACTATGTCAAATTTATATAAGAAATAAAATGAACACATTATAAGTAAATGTTTTGTTCAGTGAGTAACGATTCAAGTTTTTCCCCCAACTCAAAACATTTTGGAATTTATAAGGCCATACAAAACTAATAGTTAGTTCAGAAAGACACGGGCACTTTTCTCCTTGCCTAGTGGGCAAGTGCGAATATAGCGTTCGCACAATCCACACAGTCAGACAATCATCTACTTCTGACAAAACGGGGTGGTATGACAAAATCAAAAATTCCATTTATTGAGGAAAGATGCGACGAAATTTCATCCATAAAAGGCCGGCAACGCACTCGCGAGGTATGACTCGAGACAGATTGTTAGTAGCCCGAACGGTAATATAATATAATTAATAGTCAATTACCCGTTGTTCAGTCAAGTAAACGAAAACAGCGCCCTGGTCATATGTGATGGTGTCGTTCTTATGCACGTAGTTTGGTGCACCGACAAGAAGGTCAGTGACCCCGTCACCGTTGATATCGGTACAGCATAATGTTGCTCCGAAGTACGAGCCCAGCTGATCTCCAACGAGTTTTGCTTTGATCTCCATTGGATCTAGCTCTTTGAAAGACGGCTCGAATATCAGTACCTGTATATTGAAAATTCAAAAGGTTGCGAGAGTGGAGACCTCCACACCTGTCTCTTTTTATCTCATTGCATGCAGCATTTGGCAGAAATAGACGAACTTTAGTTAAAGGAGATTCTTACCTGTTCTTTCTTAAGTGACATTTAAAATCTTATTCGCGATTATATCGGATTAAACAGTACTTATGGAGCTGGATATATTCGGTAGCGGGCTGATAAATATTGAAGAAATAAAATCGATTGTATTATCTAAATTAGGTTCTGTATCTAAATGGTAAATTCACCCTTTATAATAAACAATTAAATTGAATTTATTAATCGCCGTAAACGAATTTGATGTTTTTTTTTTCAGATATATCATTCATATCAAAGCATTGCTTGATGAGTTCAAATATTTTAATTGATTAATTTTTAATTTAAAATATTACTTGTCCAAATCCAGATTTAGACCGTGGTGCACCTGCAATGTACAAAGTTTTCCCATTCGCTTCGAAAACACCAGATTCCACACTGTATCCTGTAAGGTAAATAATTGCAAATACATACATTATACTGTTTGGTTAATAATCCTAAGAACCTGCGCCGGTACTATGTAACTTCCAATAGCGATATTGCGATCCTTACAATTTTGTATCCATTTGTTTGATGTAGTTTTATCAATATCCATACGCCTTGAAATGACGCGGCACAAATATGCAACATTGAATTCGGGATTTTCTATCGCTTTTAGTAATTGCAGAGTACCAGGGCAGTGCTGACTAGAGAGTATCTTGTCATGAACACAAAAAAATTAAGGAATGGCTGTTATTGCTTTAATAAGATAGAGTATTATTATTAGTATAACCATCAAGATATAGTGATCATATGACAATATGAAAAATTATTTATGTGTATTGTAAGCAACTTTTATGTGTATGATATGACTTTAAAAAGCATAGTGGATTCAAACATCTATAATTAATCCATTTTTTTGTATAGGTCAATTTTGAAAAAAAATTGAAAATGTTAAGACTGCAAACAATTTGTCACAGAAATCACTATTAAAATTAACAAAAAGCCGCAGACACTAACAAAAAACTTGACTGACTACATTACATTAGCGGAACTGATGTGACGCCATTTTGAGGATAAAGGCATAATTTGAATTGTTTAAGAGAATTGAATAAATTTCAGAAGTAGAATTCTATAGGTGTCAATAAATAATATGAAATAGTTTTTAAAATCCTGTCAAATAGCCTATTCAAATAAAAAATGATTTGTTAATAAAGATAATATATAAATATTAATAATTTATGGTTTGAGCCATATATCAATGACGAGGCAATTTTATTAGACTGCTATCATTCAAATTTTAAACTACCGTCATTTTAACTTTTTAGAATTTGGTAATATTTTATATCTACCTACGAGTCATATTATACTTTTGCTTTAATGTTTGCCAGCTAATTATATTCTATTCGAAATAGCAAATAATAACAAAAAAAGCATTGTTAAGTGCCTATTGGAAGTGTATTGGAAAATCGGAAGTGTAGTATTTTTATTATTTTTACTTTTTAATTTTTTGTATCATTTATGTTTATTATAATTCATGTATTTTAGAAAAGATGGCTTGTAACATTTACTGTAGATATAGCATTTAATATGATCTGGTAAACTTTAATAAATAAATAAATGCTAAAGATTTTTAGTCTTACCTAGGTAATCATCTGGTCCAAGGTCCTTTGTGTAGTATGGATTTGTCACGGGCTGTTTACTGAAGAATAAACTACTGGTTGGCACAGTGTCCGGATAAAACTTGTACTCTATTATTCCTCCTAATAATAAATACATTAATCACAATGAGAACAGTCTTACAATTTTAAACTTTACGTTTAATTGCTGAACAATAGAATTTTCTTTGTATGTATGCAAATAACACTTGCGCTTACTGTGAAGGAAAATATCAAGCTGGTTTCCTCACGATGTTTTCCTTCACCGTTCGAGCGAATGTTAAATGAGCACATAGACAGAAAGTCGATTGGCGCACAGCTGGGTATCGAACCTACGACCTCAAGGATGAGAGTCGCACACTGAAGCCACTAACTAGGCCAACACTTCTGAGGCCAAGAACACTTGTAACGTTAACGTAACCTATTTTATAATAAAGGAAAAATGTCAATGCAAGAGACGGAGATATCTGTCTCACACCGGCTTACGAGATATCAAACAAGCTTATTTCATACAAACCTGTCCACTGCAATAATCCGGGTGCTCCAATAATGACAGTATTATTCTCGGTTACTTTGACGGACATGCCTGCTTGACCATACGCGTAGAAATTGAGGTGAGTGCCGTACTCTCCGAACTCCTCTCTGGACCCGTCAGTCATAAAGGCTTGTCTATCTAAAATAATTATGGAATGACAGATTATTATTTGTCCGCCTCGTTCATAGATAACGTGCTTTGTTTCACTTTCCTCACATCAACACCAACTATGCAAAAAACTCAGTTTTGTATCGCGCAGCCTGGACATACAACGACCACTACTTAGCCTTAACTTGTTTAAGTTATCGCAGAATATGCTTAAAAGAATTAAGAATATCCATAGCGCTACATCACCTGCCTCATGAGCATACCCCACGCACACCTTCACACCATCACACAACACCGCTGAATTAGGTATTACTTAAGTACGTTCTTAATGACGTCGAATTTTTCGAAAAGGCTTTTGAAAGCGCCTCACTAATTACGGTAACTCCTTACAGTCACATAAGCATTCAGGATTCTCTGCCGCATCGAATTGTATAAGAATCTTGAATAGTTTCATTAATTTTACTCAGACTATTTTTGTGAAAGTGAACTGTCTGGTAGTGCTTAGAATGCTATTGTCAAACCCTTTGGATTACCTTACCACATTTTTGCAAGGAAATCCACTCTTCGTTGATGACCTCTTCGAATCCTTTATACTCACTATCACTATGCTTTCTAAAGCTTCTTCATCCAATATTTGTATTTACATATCACAAACTATGCGGGTAGTTTAAAATACTTTCGCTACAAAAGCATTGCCCGAGACGCGCAAGATCCCGGAACGCTTTAATGTTAAAACATTATGTTTGAGTATAATGTGTTAGATAATGTAATTATTTCTATATTCACGTCTTTTTCCCGAACTCCACTTGTAAGCCGCTTCTCATTCATGCGTTCTACATGGCCAAACCACCTAAGCATTCCCTTTCGTATTCTTGTCACTAAGTCTTCTTCTTTGATAAATACATGAACCACTAAAACTTCCTATTTTGAAAATTAACTTACAGTAAATAGCTGTAAATTTGACTCCAATATTTGATTATCTAAGTTATGCGTCGCCTAGTATTGAAAACTTATTTTATAACATTGTTAAGACCGAATTAATGCGGGTACAGAGCATAGCTAGTATTTTATATATATGTTGATCAAACGGTCCAATATTTTTTTAATAATTTTTTTTTGTGTATTCTACATACCCATTTCATCTTAGCACTGTCAAATTAAAAAAAATAACTATTTGTAAAATCTTACTTACTCATTTCTTTTAAAGGCAGAAGGGTATTGCCCCTTTTCTGTCCTTGTACGTAACACCCACCGTTCATTAACAAGTGAGTATTTTTGTAAGGAGTCGCATATCTCGGTGCACATATCTAAAATATAATTCTGACATTTACTATACATCTGTTTAAAAAAGTTTTCCTAGAATATTTTGTTAGGAAAATTATACTTCAGTTATACTATTATGTTAATGAACCTAGAAACCAACATAGTACTGTCGTAAATGTATCAAAAGGTATCTTATTAGTTATTTATCTGACTATCTTGATAGTTGCGTACCTTTGTTTAAGAAGCTCAAAATTTTATCTCTTCTCTATATGTATATTTTAAAAATGTCCATATTCGTTCACAAAAACATGAATATTTTTAAATCAACTGAAATGGACAACTGTTGAAGTAGACTTGGGGAGAAATTGGTTTTTTCATGGCAGTCAAGGTTTATAATAATTTACCAAAAACTAAACTACTAGACTTTTTAAAAATCGACTTAAGGTAAAAAATATTATTCTATTAATGATTATTATTTGCGAGAAACATAATTAATATTGATTAGATAACTTAATAATATATTTTAATAATTTGATGATGTAGTGATACAAAAATATAAGAATTGAATATAATGATATGACTCCTAATGTCTTCTATTCTACCTTTTAAGACAAATTTGCACGTGTGGCAGAATATGAGAACTTTAGATTGTATCAACGTAGTATTATTATATCATACCTTGCAAATTAATTATTATTATTATAGAATAAAAGCTAAATAAATAAATAAATGTTCTTAGCCATAATTGAAATTATATGGTTTATTTTAGTTTTCTTATGTCACTAGATTTCCCTGATGTTTAGTAAAATCAAATACCAAAGAGTACCTCCCATATTTAAGAAGCTTATAGCTCGACGCGAGCTCGAGTCGACACTCTCGTGCTAAGTAGGACGTATGTCATATGTATATATTTGATTTCGGAAGTAAAAAAACCTTAGTATTAATAAAGAATTACCAAAAACTTTCCACCAGGTACGACGGCAATCGTCGATCCAAACCACATATCATTTTTAAAGAAATCGGAGTAGACCGAGAATCTTCGGAAAATAAGGTCTGGGTCTGAAAAAGATATTAAAATACTTGTTCAAAATGTACAATAATGGAGCTTAATTGTGAAGATACATTTATTTATAAGTAAAATAATATTATGTAACTAACAAACCTTTTATTGCAAGCCAATTGGCAACCTAAACTGATTGGTTATTCATACCGTAGAACATGGCCAGTACAGGTTTGGTATATGTAAGCCATATTATAATTTTATTAGATATTTACATTTCTATACAAAAAAAATCACATGCAAATAAAAAGGAATCTACCCGTTCGAATAACAAAGTAAAAATACGACCTATCTACCTTATTTTCCACCTCGTGAAATATAAATAAAAGGTGAAAGGTGAAAATCATTTTTTTATTTTTAAGTGTCTTTAGAGTATGTTTCTGGGCCGGTACTGTAACTCCCCATAAGAGGTAGCATTCCAAATTTCAATGTCAAGATGTTATACCGTCAAGCCAAGCTTGCATATCAGTGCAACAGATATTGTAAGAACATCAAAGTTGTGTACAAATCGTTGGAATCTATTATTTAAGTTTTTTTAAAAAGAAGAACTATTTATAAAGTAAGAGTATTAGAGCCTAGAACAGTTTTACAGAGAAATAATCTAATATATATAAAATTCTCATGTCATAATTTTCGTTCCCGTACTCCTCCGAAACGGCTCGACCCATTCTTATGAAATTTTACGCATATTCAGTGAGTCTGAGAATCGGCTACTATCTATCTTTCAAACCCCTAAATGATAAGGGGTGTCCCAAAAAAAAATAGTTATTTTTATTGAACTAAGAAAAAGGTTCCCTAGAAATAATATACATTGCAAAACGTTTGCCGTGTCAGCTAGTAATTAAATAAACACATGACAGCAGAACGGAAGAAAAGTAGATAATACAGTATTAAAGAGACCACAAAGAAAATGAACAAATATATGTGGCTTAAACGTATAACAATTGATTGGTAGCGTTATTGTATTCATATTTTAGCTAGGTATATATGATTGAAGCTTTTAATATTGGCACTATAACAAATATGTTTAAAAGCAGGACATGCCCGACGGGGCGCGAATAATCTGGTTTAATAATGATTCACTCACCGTCGTTGGCCAGTCCAAAAGACTTACATGTAACATTTTGTACATTAAGCTGCAATTTACACTTATACACTAGACCAGTTGAATTAGTAGGATTATGAATACTTTTCGCTTTGGGCGCACCAATAAAAATTCTGAAATTAAAAATGTATCTTATAATTCTAATAGTAAGCAAATAGCATTTAATCAGTAGCTGTTGTTTATTGAAACATTATATCCATAGTTTAGCTAATCCTTGAGGGTCTAGTTTCAGTTCCCCATGAAATAATAATTTTGGGCGAGTGTGCTCAGAAGGCTGATCACTTCTATAAAATAATGAAACAGCTGCAGAAATATGACTTTTAATTTAACATTTATTGCTTAGCTCTATAATAGACAAAAAGTAAAGAGTGTAATGTAGTTCGGAGTGTTATTATAATAATGATCAATGTTATTTTTTTTTATGATATCTCGCTTTGGGCCGAAGGGTCTTGACAGCGCAGCTTTTTTAGCGAGCGTTGCTCGGCCGGAAAATATCAGTGTTTTAACATTAGAACTACCTATGTCTATACTATTAGTCTTATACTGATAATCAAATTATAGCACACATGTGTCCGATCATCTGTGGCCCGCGAACTATGACTACTGCATGTCAAAATAAAAAAAAATACATAAAATAGTTAAACATTCATAGTTAAAGACTGTTATTTACAAACGAGAAACTGTGGTAAGCAATTTCAATTTATAATGATTAGACAAAACAATGAATCATATCCTATAATATGAATGACTCATTTATATTTTCAATATTATTATATTTACAAAGGATAAAATTATTCCAAGGTATAAAAATTATAAGTGGGGTCGTAAAGCTATCTTAAAGACCAGTTCACAACAGATAACACAATTTTTTAAAGTATATTATGAATGTGAAAAGGGAGAATTTATTAATTATTTATACAGTGGGTAATAAAGTATTTCCGTCATTGTTTAACTCAACAAATGACTGAACTGGTTTCGTTGTCGGCAAACAGGCTATAACATACACACATATTTAAGCCAATATGTGTCAAGCCAAACAATTGCGAGTTACTTGCTTAAACAAAGATTAATTATAACTTACTCAGATTTATTCAAAACAACACTGTATCCAAAAAAGTCAGCAGGCTGCTCATTATTATCCCGGTAAGGTTTGAAGGTCACACCAGATTTAATGTGAAACACACACTCCACGCACACAAATAGCAGACACAAATACTTAAACATTTTTACTGATTTGTTAACATGTTGTTTCTATCATGGTTGTAAACAAACTGGTCCAAGTGACACTGAATCAATGACATTAGAAAATGGAGTTGTAATTATATTTATTTACGATTAATGTTGTAATTAGTTTGAATTGAATTACTTTGTGCATACAAACAATGCGAAATATATTATGTTTGTGCGTTTAAACTAGATATGTCAATATATTTAATGGGCATAATATTACTAGAACAACATTGTTTTACATATTAGGGGATACCTCCCACCTCTGTATGGCCTTATGGCCCCTTGCGTCTTTTGGTATAGTAATTTATATTAGTAGTAATACTTTTTAATGCATAATTCACTAATAAAATTATTAATAAAAAAAATATTTCATGTTCCCAAGTGGGCGTCTTCTCCTTTTTCTGCCCACTTGCCCAAACCAAGCATCAAAACTCTCTCGGGTTAATCCACAATTATCATCATCTCTCTTCACTCCACTCATACCGCTGGGTCTGGGACCCAAAATCGTCTTGGCCTCAGAAATAAAAAGAAAGTTCCAGAAACTTCCGTATAAAAACAGAAACTTCTAGAACCCCCTCTCTCTCATACAAGTAAATTGTTATATTGGAATACTCAAAAACTTAAAACAAAGTAATAAATTATTGATTAGCCGTAAATCGTCATTAACCTATGTATAAATGAGGCATAATGACCTATAATTGTAATTAATGCGAAAATGCGTTTATATTAAGTTTAATGCCACAGCAAATTACCATTTGTTTAATTAAATGCAGACGTCAGCTAGTAGTATTGTGTTTTTATACAACGTTCAAGTCTAGGGAACATGTTGTCTATAAAATCTATAGTATATATAAAAAGTATCAATTTACTTACTGATTCATTGTATATTTGCAATGCAATCTTATTGTGCGTAACCTAATAGTATTCGCATGCGATTCTCTCAGATGTTTTTCTTTCTTTCGAAATTAACATTGTGTGAAACAAACACATGCTACACAACACAAACACACATAAGCTACCCAAAACGCACTTTTTCGCCCAACGCTTTTTCTCTTTCATAGGCTGTTTCATTTTTAACCACTTTTTCGAAAACAAAATTTTGTCTATCGATTCAAGACTATAAATTCATTAAAAATCTTCTAAACCTATACTCAAACCGAAAGTATTCATTGCAATAGTAGTTTAATTATTAAATTATGTTAAGTAGAATTTTTTACGTCAAATTCCTAAAATCATTAATATGTCAAATTCAAAAGACTCGCAGCCCTGGGAATCTTAGTGTACGGGGCTAGTGCTCGATATTGACATGTTCGCCTCAAGAGTGGTGTCGGCAAGGAAATCTCTGACAACTGAGTTACTTAGTGGAATAAATAGTGTCTCATAAAGTGTATAAGCTATACTACCCTAAGTGTACCTCAACTAATTTTAGTTAGTTTATTGCTCTGTTTGATTTATATAGATAGAATTAAAATGATTTTTTGTTACTTAATTATATTATGTAAAGATTTGTTTAACGGCGAAAAAATAACTAGAACTATATTTACTAAGTATTATATGTTAGTTAGCTGTAAATATTTCCCAATAAATAAAATGAAAAATAAATATATGTGTACACATTAAAGGTTGTAACTATTTGAATTGTAGTAATAATCTTAAAAATATTCCCATCAAATGTTAGGTTTTAATCTGCTTAAAATTAACATCGCCAATTGTATATTTAACATTTTAAGTACGATAGATAATTAATAAAAACAAAAGACCAAAAAAAACTTTATTTTGTTACAGCAAAAACTGTTAAATATTTTAAGTGACAAACCCGATATAATTGTTATCTATTCATAAGTAAAAAACTTATCTCGTTTCCTTTGATAAGTGAGCTTGACTCATTATGCATAATTTATTGAGTGAATATGGAGATTTTTTACCGACTATTAAAAAGAGTTTGTGCATTGATAATATAAATACTTTCCAATAATATTTAAATTTTGTGAAGAATTATTATTGCCCCCTTTAAATTAACCCTATCTTATTTAACATCAGGTACCATGCAGCCAACCGTTCGATCGAATGTTAAATGCCGCTCATAGAAAGATAGTCCATTGGTGCACAGCTGGGGAACTTACCTACGACCTCAGGGATGAGGTTCGCACGCTGAAGCCACTTGGCCAGAACAAAGAAAATATTTAGATAAGTTAAAAAAGCTTTATAACTAAGGAACATATTTATAATCTAAAGCAGTGTTTTCCAACCTTTTTTGAGCTATGCCCCCCACATCAGCCTTTTTGAAGCTCTTATGTCCCCTCCAATAAGATACATAATATTTCGCTAGAAAATTTGGTAACGAAAGTCGGTAAGTAAATTTTCAAAACATATAACCAAAAATGTCGAGTCCATTTTCGAATTGCTCCCCTTAACAATCAAATTGTCACCTGTGGGGCGAACTAAATGTTAATTTAAGATATCACTTATCGCTCACTTCATTAATCACTTGACCAAGAGTCCGTAAAATATACCGATATGTATATATAGTAATATAATATATAGCACATAATCTGAACTTAAAGTATTTAAAAGTAGGGCAATTGATTGAACATACATCTCAAGTCTAAAATTAACCTTGTGATAAATTAGTTTAAAGTTATCAATTGTTGATATGACACGCACTTTGTGACTGATTATGTTTTTAACTTATATAATAGTTAATTTATTAATAATTAATTTTAAGTATGTAAAATCTGACAGTGATTTTGACTCAATAGATCTTTTGGAAAATGAACGAGTTTACGATTCTGCAAGTATTGGTATGTTAATTAAAATAACAAAATGGGAATAAGTACATTTTTTTAAATATAAATACATTTATAAAAAAAACATGTGCGTGTACTTCTTTGGCGTAACAAGATAATAATCTTTTTAAATTTTTTGTATTTCGCCTTACGTTTGCAGAAAAAACGAAACTAACAATAGAAAAAAGGTATTAAGTTTATTGTATTAAAACGCATTATCAAGTTAAATAAAGTTTATTTAAATATCACAAAATAATTAATTAAAGCAAAGTACATTTTTTGTTGTAAATGTTGACTATGCCAACAGTGTCGGTTTTGTGACGGTGTGCGCGCGCATCGTACAAATTTATTCTAATCATTTTTTCCTAACGCGTCAAAAGAAGTACTTGAAAAATATGTTAAAGAAATAAGCTCCTTGTTAGCAGTGTATGTTTAACTCGTAACTTTGATATATTAATGTTAATAACAAAATTGAGTATCACTAGAATCTACGTCGTAATGAAATAGCCTCTTCGAGATTGGGTTTTGTTACTGCGGTACTTTCAATAGTCACCTATGTGGTAAGCTTGCTATAAAACTGGTACAAACCATTTAGATAAATAAATAAAAATAATAATGTGTTTATTCATTTGACAACAATTCATTATAATGTGATGATTTGGGAACCCTTTGAAGTAAAAATACCTATGTCAGGGTTCTTCTATAATATACTTAATAGTAAATTTCTTAAAAAAAACTATATATATTTAATTTTTTTTTTCAATTATTTTTGGTTTTTCAACTGTTTTCAATAAAACTGAGTGTATAAGTGAGTATGTGGGGGTAACTACATATAAGACAGATAGTCATGTCATTATAGTAAGTTCACCTCAAATTCGAGATACCCAGCTTTAAGTCTGTAAATACTTGTATATTAGGTTAGGACAAAAATTATAAAATATAATATAAACGTTAATAAAAATTCACTAATATTTATAATCATTGATTTAACACGATAGTTCATCAAGTGGCGCGTTTTCAACCGGAAGCACCGGTTGACCTGAAGTGATCCTGTGACCGCGCGCTCTCCGCCCTCTATCTCGAAAACGGTTCATTGTATAAAATTTTTTTTAGACAAAATTTGTAGAGAATTTTGTATTCTACAACATTGATTATAAATACAAATAGCAAAAAACCCATAGGAAATGAGATATTTACAAAAAAGCGCTAAAAACCGATTTTTATGACCTTTGACTTTGAAATTTAATAGTTGCGTACACCCTACCAAATGTACTCGTAGGTTTTGAGACAACTTTTAGGGTGTCAATATACAAGTATTTACAGACTTATAGCTGGGTATCTCGAATTCCAAGATTCTTACCTAATTTAAGCTTAAATGACTGGACTAAGTAATTATATTTAGAAATGTACCGAAAAGTTATATAAATATTCTTGCAATATTACATTATAATAAACTAGTGGAATTGTATTTGTTTCTTTTATAGACAAGTAGGTTTGTCCGCGTTATGTGCCTGACATATGTTGATTAGGAGTCTTACACTGTTAGCAAGTGTTAAATGGGCTTATGGAACAATTAACTCGTCGGACTTCGAACGCTCTAGCGTATAGTATTCATAAACTTATATGCATCAATCATATTCTTTTTAATTCCAGAAACAACTGACGAGCAAGTATATTATAACGGGACCTGGCTATGTGGTAATTGTACGGATTTAAAAGAGGCTAAAATTAAATATAACGAATCGTATGATATTGAAATAAATGGCGACAATGCGGAAGTACAGGTAAGCTTGGTTATATATAAATTACTTTTTTAAGCCTTTATTCACCCACATCTTACTGACATATATTTAACAAAAATAGATATAAATGTAATTTATACAACTTTAAGATACGACCTCTGTCCGGGAAAGTCCTCTCCAACTTTTTCCACCTTAATGTATTTTGTGCCATCGTCATCCAATATTTTCTAGCTATCCCTTCGATACCGTGGACCTATCGCTCTATTGGTTGTTCCTTTTTCCCTTTGGACTAGAACTTTCGGTTACTGTTTTAGACCATCTGCTATCTGTTTAACGGGCTACGTGCCCTGCCCATCTGCATTTAAGTTGTAGGGCATGTTGCTCAGCATCAATTAGTTTGTTTTTTCTGTGAATATATTCACGTTTCTGTTGCGAAAAAAAAATATAGTAAATATATGTAATGGAATGATATTTCATTAATTTGAATTTGACGGTCGGAGTGACACGCGATAAAATGGCGGATGACGTGTAAATTAATTTAGTGGATTATAGTGTAAAAGATAGATAATGGACATTAAATGTCGTTTCTTTGTATTTCAGAGAAACAATTTTGTGTTTTCATTTAGAAAAAAATCCATAATAATATTCCTTTATAAAACGACATTTTTGTTAACTCAAAGAAGATGGACCGGCTGCAATTTGAGTTCACGATGATGGCCTCAATCGATGGCAAATCTAATAATTGGCCATAACTTCAATATTGACAGAAGAAGGAAAATGTTATGTTTTACCTGATGAATTGAAGCCGTGATTCATCATACATATATAGTTAAATTGAACACTTTTTCAAAAATAAAAAATAGTATAAAGAAAAGGCACCAAAGCAGAAAGATATGGGTAAAATTAGATGAAGATCTAAAGAAAACATATATAGATGAGGAAGGTAATATGCAATTTTTAGATCAATATTTAGAGGAAATGAGCACAAAACAACCAAGAGGCAATGATGATAATTTGCAACATATCCTGGAAAAATTAATAGAATCTACAACAAAAAAGAAAATCAACATAATTTAAAACATGTTTCAGAGAAATTTATTATCGAAAAATTCACAAGTAAGAATCCTAATGCAGTGCAATGGATAGAGAATTTTGAAAAAGAGTGTGAGCGTTTTAATATAACAAAAGATGAAACAAAAATAGATATATTGAGATTATTTTTAGAAAACTCCAGTTTGGATTGGTATAGCTCGATGGTAATTAAACTATCAGTAAATTCTGAATGGAATGAATGGAAAGACAAATTTTTAGAAACTTTTAGGAACCAAGGGTGGGATGTAGTCACAACTGCTTTCACATTCAAGTATAAAGAAGGGCTGTTAATTGATTATGCTATAAAAAAAGAACGGCTTATACTAGATATAAATAAATCGATAGATTCCAGAACAATGATAGATCTAATTGCAACTGGTTTACCTAGTTTTATCTTGAATAAGTTAAACAGGGACGAACTCAACAACACTACTGATTTGTTCAACGAGATAAGAAAATATGAATGTATGATTTTCAAGAAAAACTCAACTATAACAAAGAATATATATTCTTTAAAAAATAAAATTAATGAGAAGAAGCCATGTAAGACTTGTGAATCTTTGGACAAAGGAATTAGATATCATCCGGAGGAGTTATGTTGGTTCAAGAAAAATAAAAATGAATCTGAAAAGGTTTTTAAAGCCAAAAATGTAAATAATAATTCGATTATTGAAGTAGATATGAATACTGAGAAAAAAACGAGTAAGTACACCATTAATCAAAATCAAGCTATTATTAGAAAATAAACTAGAAGTGAGCGGTGTTTATGATTCAGGCTCACAGATCTCTTTTAATAAATTCAAGATTGATTAAAGTGAAAGAAAAAAAGACAATGTGAATATAACATATATGAAAACGGTTAATGGTGTGAAGAAGACAGATGGAGCTTGATAACAATAAAAATAAAAATCTTTGATTTAGAAGAAGAGGTCGATATATATATAGTAGAAAATGAAGATTTTGAGGATTTTATAATCGGATTGGATATGATAAAGAAGTTCAAATTAATCCAAAATGAGGACTTGCAGATAGAACAAAGGAAAATAGACAGGATGTCTAAAGATATCAGAAATGAAGATAAGAATATAAAAATATATGCAATAAATTTCAATGAACACATAGAAACAGAGGAATTTGTTAGTAAGACAGATCATTTAGATAAAGAAAAGAAAATTGAGATAGAAGAAGTTATAAATAAATATAAAACTATTTTTGCTAGGGACAAGTATGATATAGGATCAGTTAAAGATTATGAAGCTCACATAGATTTACTTGTAAATACATACTGTAGTAAAAGACCATACAGATGTACGATAGAAGATAAATTAGAAATCGAAGAACAAATATCCAGATTACTAAAGAATAATTTAATAGAAGAATCTTACAGTCCTTTTGCTGCGCCAGTGACATTAGCATTTAAAAAAGGTGAAAATAGAAAATCTCGATTATGTATAGATTTTAGAGAACTTAACAAAATTGTTGTACCACAAGCTCAACCTTTCCCATTAATAGATGATTTAATTATTAAGACAAGAAATTGTAAGTATTTTTACTACTCTTGATATAAACTCAGCATTTTGGGCCATACCACTACGGGTGGAAGATAGATATAAAACAGGATTTGTCACACAAGATGGCCATTTTCAGTGGACCTGCCTTCCTTTTGGTTTAAAAACATCACCAGCAATTTTCCAGAGATTTTTAAGTAATATTCTGAGAAAGCACAATCTCACAGGATACTCTGTAAATTATATTGATGACATTTTAATCTACTCCTCTACTTTTGAGGACCATATAAGACACATAAAAAATGTATTAGAGGCAATAATAAAAGAAGGCTTTAGATTGAAGTTTATGAAGTGTACCTTTGCCTCAGACTCAGTAAAGTATCTTGGCCATGTAATTCAAAACAACTCGGTAAGACCGTTAAAAAGATAATTTTGATTTCGATAAAACATTTTCCAACTCCGAAGAACACAAAAGAATATCAGACAATTTTTGGGAAAAATTAACTTTTACCATGAATACATACAAGGAGCGCGATTATCTTAGATCCATTACATAAATTATTAAGAAAAAACGAAAAGTTTGTGTGGTCAGAGAAGTGTGAAGAATCATTTAATCAAATAAAGAGATATTTATGTTCTCAACCGGTATTGGAAATATATGACAAAGACTTACCAATAAAAATCTTTACAGATGCATCCTTAGAGGGTATCGGAGCAATATTAAAACAAACACAACTGGACGGTAATGACAAACCAGTAGCATATTTTTTCAAAAAAAACTGAATGAATCTCAAAAACGGAAAAAAGCTATAACTATATACTTAGAATGTTTTGCTATGAAAGAAGCAGTCAAATACTGGCAACACTGGCTCATTGGAAAACAATTCACTATTTACTCAGACCACAAACCTTTAGAAAACATGAACATTAAATGCAGGACAGACGAAGAATTGGGTGATCTCACATACTACCTGTCTCAATACGACTTTACGGTAAAAATATATACCTGGTAAAGAAAATGTAGAAGCAGACTGTTTAAGCCGAAATCCTGTATTAGAATCAGAAGATAACAAAGAGGAATTATTGAAAATAGTTAATTTAATACAAATAAAGGATATAGTTGAAGATCAAGAGCAAAATGAAACAATAGAAGAATATAAAGAAAATCTAATACAAAAAAATACAATATATTATAAGAAAATAAAGAAACATGAAAAGATTATCCTCTCAGAAGAATTTAGTAAGAAACTTATCAAAAAGGGATGAAGATTTATGCATTTGGGATCAGACAATTGCAGAAAAAAATAAGTCCAATATACACAGCTAAAAACCTAACAAAGAATATCATAAATATTTGTAAAACATGTGAAATATGCATAAAAAAAAATAGAGGTCAAGGAAAATTTGGATTAATGTCACAACTGGGACCAGCAACAAAACCATTTGAGATAATGTCAATGGATATATAGGTGGCTTTGGAGGATCTAGATCAACAAAAAAGTACCTACACCTTTTAGTAGACCATTATACAAGATATGCATTTATTGTGACGTCAAAAACACAGAATGCAAGTGATTTTATAAAACTAACAAAGAATGTATTAGAAACAGATGAGATTGGAATAATTTTGACAGATCAAATCCAGGCATCAATTCAAGAGAATTTAAGCAATATCTAATGAAAATAATGTTAAATTAATTTTTACAGCTGTGAATACACCATTCTCTGGCTTGAATGAAAGGTTAAATCAAACAATAGTTAATAAAATAAGATGTAGAATAAATGAGAAAAATAAAGAGAACATGGACAACAGTGGCAAGAGAATGTGTAGAGAAATATAATGAAACAGAACACTCCGTTACAGGTTTTGCACCAAAATATTTACTGGATGGTACAAATGTCAGCATTCTACCAAATGAATTAAAAATAATAGAAGGAGAAGACAAGTGGATTGTGATAAAAGATTGGCATTAGAAAATACAATAAAATCCCACAAGTACAATAAGAAAATATTTGATAGAAAAAGAAAAATGCAAGAGTTTAATATAGGCGACAGTGTATATGTTGAGAATGGAAATAGATGAATAGAAAGAAATTAGACGAATTAAAAATAGGTCCTTTTAAGATAGTAGGGAAAATATCGAACTCCATTTTAGGATTGACACTGGTAACAGAAAAACAGAATCAACTTTGTTCCACATAACAAAATTACAACCGGTTACAACAGAATCTGAAGAAGATGAAATAAAGGAAAACGAATATGAAGAAGTATTAAGAGTTTAGATATATTATTCAGAATTTTTTCTCTTGGGGGGGAGATGTAATGGAATGATATTTCATTAATTTGAATTTGACGCGTCGGAGTGACACGCGATAAAATGGCGGATGACGTGTAAATTAATTTAGTGGATTATAGAAAAGAAGAAGTGGACATTAAATGTCGTTTCTTTGTATTTCAGAGAAACAATTTTGTGTTTTCATTTAGAAAAATCCATAATAATATTCCTTTAAATATATTATTACAAACATTTTAAATCTAAACTAAAAAAGCTAAATCGTAACTGCAAACTTAACTAAAATAAAGTACCTACATCGTCTCTTGTTTGCTGTGACAGACTCAAAAATAACGGATGAATATTTTTATTATACAGGGTGTCCCAAAAGTCGACGTCAAGTCGAAATTTTCTCATAGGTAATGCCACATCAGTTATCAGAAAAATTAAAAAAAAAAAAATCATGTATTTTTGAAGTTATGGATATTTGTTTGTTATTCCAGAAAATGCACACCATGTGACAGTTTTTTCATTCCTGTTGTTACAAATATTTACTTTTTGCCAATTTTTTTTCTCTTACGTCATCCCGAATAGTGTTTTATGTAACCTATGATCCTAAACTCTGTGCTGATCACTCCAACTTTTAGGAAAATGTCATTTTATACCGTACCAAGTTTTCAAAATTAATTTTCGCACTACTTCAACTGATCGTCCTGAAAAAAAAATGTACTACTCCAGTTTGGCAAGTAGTTAGCGCATTTAATAAGGATTCTACAGTGGTATAACACTGAGTCCATTATTTCTTAGATCGGCCATAAGATTTTTTTTTTTGTTAAACAAAGTCTGATTTTAACAATCTCTTTGAAATTACAACAAATGATTCTAGCGCACCCAAAACGTTCCTAATGACCACAGAGGATTTAAATCGGGTGAGCGGGCGGGCCACGAGATTGTACCACCCCGCCCTATCCATCTGTCTGGATACTCCTCGTTAAGGTGGTTTCGAACTAAGCGGCTTTAATGCGCTGGACAACCATCTTGCTGGAACCACATATCTCGTAAAATAGTAAGCGGCACGTCCTCCAGCAAATTGGGCAAATGATTTTGTAAGAAATCTAAATAAATTTCAGCATTTAAAACTTCTGGTAACTCAAAAGGCCCTATGACTTTTCCGTTCAAAATTCCAGTCCACATGTTAACTTTGAAACGGTACTGTGATCTGTCTGGTCTCATCAATCGTGGATTTTCGACGTGCCACTCGTGCAGATTGTGTAGGTTCATGTAGCCGTCTTTTTTAAAAGTTGATTCATCCGACCATAAAAATTTTTCTAAGAATTGTGGGTCTTCTCTGTGTTTTTGAATTATTGTTTGGCAAAAAGCAACCCGAGGTTCTTAATCTCGAGGTAATAAGGATTGTACTCGCTGTACATGAAATGGATGGAACTCATGTTTTTGTAGTATTCGGTGAGCTGTACTTTTGGGCACACATCACAAATGTAAAATCCAAATCATAAGCAAACAAGTCCATAAACGAAGCCAAAGTAGTTAGAACACAAAATAACACCAGCGAATACGAAAAGATGCGTAGTAAACGAAGGAGCGAGCGTTGCGTACTGACCTGTAGTGCGTGTGTCAATAGCAATAAGTAGCGTCACTATCTGTCTCGCTCATACTTTACGCCATCTTATTTAAACCACGCTGTGGTTATTAGGAACGCTTTGGGTACACTAGAATCGTTTTTTGTAATTCCAGAAACATTTTTAAAAAACAGACTTTGTTTAACAAAAATTTATTTTATGGCCGATCTAAGAAATAATGAAGTAAGTATTATACCAGGTTAGAATCCTTATTAAATGCGCAAACTTTTAAAGCTGCTTGCCAAACTGGAGTAGTACATTTTTTTTTCAGGACGATCAGTTGAACTAGTGCGAAAAATTTATTTTGAAAACTTGGTACGGTATAAAATGACATTTTCCTACAAGTTGGAGTGATCGGCACAGGGTTTAGGATCATAGGTTACATAAAGCACTATTCGGGATGACGTAAGATAAAAAAATTGGCAAAAAGTAAATATTTGTAACAACAGGAATGAAAAAACTGTCACATGGTGTACATTTTCTGGAATAAAAGGAAAATTTCCATAACTTCAAAAATACATGACTTAATTTTTTTTTTAAATTTTTCTGATAACTGGTGTGGCATTTAAAAAAAAAAAAAAAAAAAAAAAAAAATAAAAAAATAAATTAAAAAATCAAATCACTTTGTGGGGTTAATTTTTCTCAGTAATGATTAGTAATAATGACCCACGGTAATGGTTGCATCCAAAAATAATTAATTTTTTTGTACATATTATTTAATTTATATAATTTTTAGTTAGCTTTAAGTTTCAAAAGTGTATATATTTGACAACTATAGTTTGTGATATAGTATTTTGGTGAACTTTTGTTTGTTTAAAAAATCGCCTAAAAAGAATTTCGCGTGTTAATAAAGCATTGTTTTTTGGCGAAAAAAAAAAACTATTGAAGCCCAAGGCTTGGCTTGAGAAATATTATTTGGACTGCACCAGGAAGGTCAACAGTTGAGAAGGACGAAATAAGCACCGACGACAATGCACGCATGTGTTACCATTAGGCAGGTATACCTACGTAACTTAAAAATATTGCAAAAGTAAAAAAAAGGAATTATAAACCGATGTACAGGAAACTCAAACTCATAATAACTTTATTCATATACCTAGGTTAATAAGTTCAAAGTTCGCAAGTCAAGGCGTAGAGCGGGCAAGAAGAACTGGTAGGAAACTCTCCGCCACTCTTTTTAATCGCTAAGTTTTAAGTCATACATGTTATGTATAATTATGTTTAAATAAGCCAAAAAACAAGCTACATAGCGCAATTTCTAGTGAAGGGAGTGATTAAATTAGTTGAAGCGTCTCTGGTTAATTAATTCAGTAGCCGAGTACTCGAACAGTTTGCTACACGCTAGGTTTAGGCGCTAAGCCTGATTATTCCAGGGAAACAATATTCATTTTACATTAAGATTGTCTTCATTTTACGCTACCCTTATTCCACAACTCTAAAACATGTTTATTAATGTGTTCATGTACCAAGAAAAACAAATATTTATCGGCACATTTGTAAACTTTGTTTAAAATACAAAAGTAAGACCCTGATAGTGTATATATATGATAGCATAATCTATGTGTTTTATTTCTGACCGTTACTTATAAACGAAGAGTCCAAGATGACTTTTGTTCTTTGGAATTAAAACCAGTCCAGAATTTAAATTCTGGACTGGTTTTAATTATTATTGAGGTTAACCTCATTTTTATATTTCTGTTTTAATCAAAAACAATTAAGCAAAAACCCAATAATACATACATAAGCAGCACATAATAATAGTAAAAAATAAAGAATATTAAAATAAATCTAAATGGTAAATAATTATAATTTAATCATGTTTAATTCATGCTTATGCTCATTTTTAGATCAGTGCCTAACAAAATACGATTTTAACTAATTCGACAACTAGGAAGCCACAGAACATGTTACCATTCATAAAATTGTTTGAGGTAGCCATAAAATATTACTTAAACTTAAGGAAAAAGGAGTTTATGTTTAACTGCACTTGTAGGCAAGGTTGTGGCATTACAAGGGCAGTGTTTTGTGTATGTCATATTTTGACACGTTGATTTAATACTATTGTGTAGACTAGTCTAAGTCAGGAGCCTAAGGTCGATAAGTTCTATATGTATAATGTATATCCTTTATAAGTAAAAAGGAATACATTTTTTAGCGAGTTTTAGGTGTCACTACACTATCTACATATAAAAAAAAAAAAAAAAAAAAAAAAAAAAAAAAAGGGGAGGGGGGGGGGGGGGGGGGGGGGGGAAAAAAAAAAAAAAAAAAAAAAAAAAAAAAAAAAAAAAAAAAAAAAAAAAAAAAAAAAAAAAAAAAAAAAAAAAAAAAAAAAAAAAAAAGGGGGAGGAAGAAAAGGAGGGGGGGGGGGGGGGGGGGAAAAAAAAAAAAAAAAAAAAAAAAAAAAAAAAAAAAAAAAAAAAAAAAGAGGGGGGGGGGGGGGGGGGGGGGGGGGGGGGGGGGGGGGGGGGGGGGGGGGGGGGGGGGGGGGGGGGGGGGGGGGGGGGGGGGGGGGGGGGGAAAGGGGGGGGGGGGGAAAAAAGGGGGGGAAAAAAAAAGGGGGGGGGGGGGGGGGGGGGGGGGGGGGGGGGGGGGGGGGGGGGGGGGGGGGGGGGGGGGGAAGGGAAAAAGAAGGGTTTTTTTGGGGGGGAGGGGGGGGGGGGGGGGGGGGGGGGGGGGGGGGGGGCAGAAAAAATGAAATTGGGAAAAAAAAAAAAGGGGGGGGGGGGGCCGTGGGGGAGGGGGAATTTTTTTTTGAGGGGGGGGAAAGGGGGCCGGGGGCTTTGGGGGGGGGTTTTTTTTTGTTTTAAGGGGAGGAAAAAGACCTTGGGGGTTTTTTGAAGGGAAGTTCTATCGGCCAATTTTATTATCTGTGAGGATCTAAAGTAATTGTAATCTGTATAATTTAAAATTTCGATCAAAACCAGAAGTTAGCCTTTTAATAACCTAATATAATGAGGATAATTTTTTTGCAGACAGTGATATTTTTATGATTTTAAGATATTCAATAATTATTTAATTCAAAGAAGTGTTAGTTTTAGTTAAATTAAATGTTGGTATTAGGTAGTAGTAGGTAGATGGTTAGGTGGCTTTTTGGCATAATGATTGGGGGAGTTCTGTGAAGTGTGAATAAGTTTCTCAGAACAGTTCGTGTAGCGTTGTATTGCAACAGGGTAAAATGATGCCAATACCAGCACAATTTTTCTAAACATAATTTAGTAAAATACATTTACAATAAATGTATTATTACTGTAGTGCCTTAAATAATCTGACAAATTTATACTCTTCTAAATAGAAAAATACTCTTAATTTATATAGGAGTTGGTTTAAATTGACATAGTTTTGATAACTGCATTTAATAAATGGATCTTACAAAAAAGATTATCACGAGAATTGTGCGATACCGATTTCTTAACTTTAACATCGTATTCTTTCAGATCGGTGTGTCAATCCCCGACATGAGATGTGTGACAGTGACAACAGATGATACTGTCAACGTCCAGCTTGTGTCAGGGTCATGTAGCGGTGACAGCGTCACTTTGAGTGTCTACAATACGTCACACTATGATGTTAACGTTTATTAAATCACTGATTGGTTTCTTAAAATAATAATGTAAATATATTTTAAGAAGTTTTTAGTTTTTCATTTAGATCGTAATAATTTATAAAAACCGTTTTTTTTTTAATTTTAGACGTCACTATAATCAATGGTTGTTTATTTACAAAGTATAGTTTGTTCCTTAACCTATATCCATTTTTGAATTACTTTCGTGACCATTTTTTAAGGGTTGATAATTCGTGAGTTTTGTAGATGCCTTTTATGCCAACAAACTCGAAGTAATTATTGTTCTCTGGGAGTCCAGGATATACACATATACGCAGTTATTTACAAACTATGACACGGAGCAATCATTTATAATATGTACTCAAGTGTTAAGTCGAGATCGATATTACTTGAAGTAGAATGAGAGGTAAAATGGGCGTTTAGGCTGTTTACTTCGATATCGGGAGGCATGGAAGTACGTGGCGGCATACCGACACCCAGAGATTTTAAAAATTTCCATGTTTTTTAGGAATCCCCATTTGACACTGAGTCGTGAATGTGTCGTCTCTTCACATCCCGACAACGCGTGTTGCAAGGTTTTGTGAAATACACGTTCCTTGTCCGTTTTGGCTGTTCTCATCTTGGCTTTAGCGCGGTTTTTTTGTTTAATCAAAGTTTTGATTTCAGTGTGAGCCAAGGAGCAGGTAAATGCTTTAGTTTAACGGGCCTCAAGGGGGCATGTATATCAAAAAGATTAGTAATGGAGGCATTTAGTAAATCAACTTTTCCATTGATGGGGACATTCGTAAATCGAGCTAAAGTCGATTTTGGCCGCATCTATAAGCAGACGCTCGGCGTCAATCGCAGCGAAATTGCGTCTAAAGACTACGGTGGGTTTTAGTTTAGGAGGTTTAAGATTGAGAGACAAATAAAGGAGGTCATGATGAGAAAAAAGTGACAGCAGGAAATTGGTCATGGTTAGTAACTAGGTCAGGAGAAGAGGTAAATATAAGATCCAATAGGGAAGGAGTGGAGCCTGGGACTTTATGCGTGGCGCTAAGTGGCAGGCTATGAAGATTATAAGAGTCGGAACTTTTTCGATCGGCAGTCGTCTTTTATTAAGCAGGTATTGAAATCACCCATAATTACTATGTTTTTATAGAGAGGTGTAAACCTTTCAAGAGTATCATCAAAACCTGCGAAATATTCGACTAAAAGAGAAGGAGAGAAGAACACTCCAAGGAGAATTTTAGTTTTACTGAGCATGACCTCGATCAGAAGATGCTCGCATGCATTAGGTGGTGGTGGTTGAGGAGACATATTGATAAAAGTGTATAAACTTTAAGTTAGTGTGTATTTGATCAATTTTAAATTTAAAAAAACATAGATGTGCAAAAAATTAAGTGAGTAAGTCAAGTTCAATCATAAAATAAGATGGAATTTATCAATTTCATTTACATTTCATTAATTATAGAAACTTTTTGAAGTAAAAACTTCTTACTACACTTAATTAATGAATTAAATTAATAATAATCTTATGAATTTATGTGTCTGTCTCTTTTTGCTGTCGCTTTTGCCGTTGCATCCGGTTTGAAATCACAACAATTCTAAAGAAGTTTCACTTCAAAAACCGTTTAACACAAAAACAACAGAGTGTATTAGTTATATTTGTCTTATTTTGACGCGATGGCTAGTGTTCACATTAATATGTCCTGTTCTATACGATATTTTGCGTCAATACAACCATGTAGCTTATTTATTTAATAATCTATCTATTTTATTAAGTCTAAAGTCGTTTGTTCTAGTACGCAAGCCTCTGACATTTTGGTTAAATATACTAGGTGTATTATGCATTAAAGAGTTATTAATTGTATCTCTGTCTGTGCTTGTGTGTAGTTACACTGTATTTATATATAAATCTATACCTAATCGCTTTTATATTATAAACAGGTCTTTTTGTGTGTTAATTGATAGCGCCGGTGTTAATGGGAGTGCTACTCTAATCATGCCCTTAGATTTTCGTACACCTGGTTTTGTGCGATTTGATTTCAGTAAGATTGTTGTGCGACCCTTTGTTGTGCGAATTTCAAATTTGATTATCAGGGGCTTTGGGCGACTAGGTACGCTAGTTTTATAGGGTTAAAAAAGGGGCAATTCTAAATTCCTAAGACAGTTTTACTCCGTCGTACTTAGATATTTTATTAATAATAATGAATATTAACAAAAACGACAACATTAATGATAAAAGGGTCATCATTTATGTAATTAGTTTTGGAGAATTTTTGTTAGGCGTATCAGGTAAAGCGATATAACGATATATATAATTAAACATTTAAAAAATCCCCCTCCAAGAGGGCGGAGTGTTTCTTGGCAGTTCTTCTTGCCCGCACTACGCCCTTGACTTGCGAACTGGTAGTAAATGTAAAAATAAACCTGAGGTAACCGAATATAAAGTATATTTTTATATTTGCAAATTCAAAGAGTGATTATGTAAACGCAATGATGACATTGCGTTTGATTGTGATTAGGCAGCCCAATAAACTAACTCACATTTGCATAATATAGGATTGTTTTAACTTAACAAATAATTTTAAGATTACGAATTAAAATAAGCACTGTAATTAAGCTAGAATATTAATGCTCTAAATAAATAAATTTCGTATCGGAAATAATTACACGGGGGCAACTGATTAAACAGAAATAAACGCCTATCATACATATTCAGTCAATAATATATTCTAAGTAAGTTTATATAACTACAGAATATTTAATTGTATTACATTGTAATTGTAGAACCTCTACCTAATATCTATCGGCATAAGACAAAAATTACAAATGTGAGATTATTATTTTTTAAAGTTTAGATTTAATTCCTTTTTCGTTTAATACCTCTTACCTCGATCTATCGTCATCCGTGTTTGTGTCGCCTCGAAGGCAGTCGTACTCAACATGCTCATCTGCGCATGATTAGATGTTTTTGTAAAAGTTATTATATATACGCTGTAATAAGACATTTCAGAGGAAAAATATACGAGTAAGTTCATATTAATTCTCGAGTATATCAAAGGTTAACTTGAAAGTTACGTAAATACTTTAAATAAATAAAAAATTATCATTAATTATGAAGAAAATTTTATGCTTGTTTGGACCATCTGGTTGGGGGTTGATTTGGGCAAAGTACCTGAGTGTAAGCTTATGGCCATGGTGTATTTTATTTTATTTTCATATGCATTATTGGACATGTATTTTATAGAACAGCGCAGTTTGATAAATAATTATGATTTAACGTTACATAAAAACTTCTTTAGCATGAATTTATTAAATTTAGCTACCGATGTAATTACTAAAAATGTAATTTTTATTTTTATTGTTAATCTAATATGTAGAACTCGGGTTGAAATATTATATTATTAATTAATTATTCGTTAAGAGTTCAGCAATGGTTTCTTAAGTAAATTACTATTTGTAACTGCCGGAAATGCAGGTAATTTAATAGATTCTACGTTAACTATAGTGGCATTGGTTTGTTTTTTGTATCATAATATTTTCTTATTAAAATCTCGATAAATCATTTTGAATGAGAGTTAATTAAGCCAATTCAGTAATGATTACGTTATAACTATATTAAAATAAGTTGAAGTTTGTTTTGTTTGTTGAAGAAATTTAATTCAACGATACCGATAAAAAATGTTAGTTGCATTATTTTCATATAAAACATATTAGGATGTTTTACGCCATTTTTGCCGCAAACTCTGTGTTCCCTTGTTTTCCAGTACGTGTGGAAGATTTTAAAGCATCTCCCCTATTTAAGGGCGTTTACTAACAATACAACAATATCATCGCGTATTGATACACGAAGGAATAATTATTTGTTTTAAAGGATTATTGGCACGTAAGTTGTGTTTGTAATATTAAATATGTTATTATTAGAAACCTCTCAGTAAAGGCGATCTTTTAACTGAAAAGTAAAATAATGGCTCATTTGAAAGCAGTATTTAGTGTTTAGCTTCCTTACTTTAAGTTTGAAAGTCAGAATGGTTTAAACACCTTTGTGCTTTGGATAATCACGTAAAATTCTCGGCCCTTCGTCTGCTGGTTCTTGTGGTCTTGTAGTTAGTCCGCTCCATGATTGAGAGTTATGAAATAGAGAGTACAATTGTGTCTTTAATAATAATAGTGTTAGAGGACGCTGGCGCAGCAGGCCTGGAAAACATTGTTATAGTGTATAACGAAATTGGTTTAATGAACTGATGTAAACAATTTGGCTTGTTATTCTTCATGATAATTTGACGTAGGTCAACGAACATCAAGTGTCAGTTTAATAGTTTGTAAATATGTATGTCGTAATTTTACAGAATTGATCTTGAGGAATAAACTTATTCTAACTAAAACCGTGATTAAAACCTTTAATTTTATTGCTAAATTAAGATCAATTAGAGTCTCCCGTATTGGACCTATTATTAATTTAAAAAACTTATGGACATTCGTTGATAGATCGCGAGACTGAAAACAATGTTTCGCTCTATCCGTTGTGTGGTTAATAGTGCAAGAAATGGATCACGACAGTATACGAGGTAATGTATTTATTTATTTGTTGATAAAAGTACTTAAGTAATTAATAGCTAACACAGCATAATAAAAAAATGAATAGTAATCAAGCTTAGTAACAACTAAAAAAAAATTAAAATAATGAGAAGAATTACTACATGCCTTTTTTAGAATTTGCTTTGTTCTTTTTTCATTTTACAGAATATGACTAGTGATTATTTTTTTTATAAATGTTTGAATAATTTACGTATATTACATTGTGTGTAGATCTGTGTTATAATTTAATTGTCAATAAATATTTTAGATCTCCTACATTAAGTATTTCAAATAAAGAGAATATTGATAAATGTACGATAGTCTTGTATTAGTCAAGTAGTTTTTATTCTATTTAACTACTAGGGTCAGAGTAAAGCGGGGGATAGACGGACCGCATGTTGCAGTCAAGACCGACTGCTATATGCGGATTGCTGGGGAACTGTTTGAGCGGTCCGT